TCAATCCTACGACCAATTACTGCAACAACAAAACAATCACAATTTTAATAGAGCACATACACATACCTACACACATACCAACATACACACACACACACACGCTCACACACGAAGGCATTTATAGCTGTTTTTTTTACTTGGGAGGGTTAAAAAATACAACACAAAATCTAACACATTTATTTACATATATATAACGTATTAATATTAACGTTTAACTTTAATATTTATGTACAACTAAAACCAACAACTGCTATTGGAAATCGTACTTTTTTTGTTTTTTTTTTATGTATACTTTGTAAAATATAGCAAACCACAAGGCAATTATTTAATGAATAATAAAACAATAATAATGGAAGTTGTACAATTTGTTCCTTTGTAATTAATTTCAATGTAATCATAAAAATTGTAGCATACTTTGCGGCAGGTAATTCAATTTATACATTGCCAACAGTTGAAGTTGCCATTCACAATAGTTTTTATTTGCAGTAGCATACTTTTGAGCATATTTTATCGCGCAGCTTAAAATCATTTTGATGGCTATCGTTTTAAAGTTGGCAATAGCTGGCGAAACCCTCAAAATTTAGACATTCATTCATGTTTCATGCCAATCGATGGTTCTCATCCGTACGAATCCAAAGAGATATATCACTTCAGTATCTGACTTTATTTTCCCGAGATATTCAAATTTTAAACATATTTTAAAAAATTTCAAATGTCCATAACTCGGTTAATTGAAGTACGATCTTGGAAAGATATGACATTATAGACTCGTGAAAAAGTTTCTATAAAGATAGAACAGATTGGAATCAACAATTTTTGATTTCAGAACAAACCCAATTTCAGCAAACATTGTGATGTTACCCCTTGCCATTTTTCTTGAATTTGATAAAACTCTAGAATTGGATTTTTTGAATGCCAATCGATAGTCGTGGTCCTTACGAGTTCAAAGATGTATATCATTCCAAAATATGACTTTATTTTCCCGAGATATTCAAATTTTAAACATATTTCAAAAAATTTCAAATGTTCATAACTCGGTTAATTGAAGTCCGACCTTGGAAAGATATGACATTCTGGACTCGTGAAACTCTGTAGAATAAAAAGGAATCATTTTAATTTCAGAACAGTCCCATATTTTGACAAATTTTTGATGTTACTCCTTGTAAATTTTAGAATAGGATTTTTGAATATCCATTTATAATAGTGATCCGTACGAGCTCAAATTGTTTTTTTATTCAAAAAACCTGATTGACGCTTTAAATTACAAGTGTACAATATAAAAACCTAATATGCCTAGCTCGATTAAAAGAATATCCGGGCACCCACCGCAGCGCCGTTTATTTCCAAGACTTGAAGAACAAGATCTTGAGCCGGGTAAAGCCGGACAGAAGCCGCATACATAAGTCGCCGGATGGAATCACATATCAATTAAATAAGGTAGGGACCAGTTTCATAGAAGAATTATTTCTAAACTCAAGGTTAATATGAATATTGATTTTACAAGACAGACAGATCTTGGTCCAACTGCAGCTGAGCATATATATAGTGAATATGAACTTGTTTTTCTTTAGGTAAATAAACTAAAGACTAGTTCGAGGGCTATCGCGAATGTGGCGCCCGTCTAAAGACGTGTCCCGACTTTCAGCCAAATGGATGACGACGCGACAGATAGATGATAATAGATTTGCCAAATTGATTATTTAACCAGGCTCTAAAGCAACGCAGCTCGGATGCACACATAAGCACATTTAGTATATAAAATATTGGAAAATTAATTATCAACATGTGCCTCGACCCTTTGTGCCTGTGTGTGTGTGTGTGTGTATGTGTGTGTACTTTTGTTTTTTTCCCGTATGCAGCAATTTCACAAGACAACGACTAAATTGTCCCGTTGCTGTTTTAATCGTTAGCTCAGCTTTTGTTGTTGTTGCTATTTATATATGGAATTTTTAATTTTGATGGCACATTTATTTAGGTGTGATAAGGACCACACACAGCCATACACACACACACGCACACAATTGACGGCAGCTCGGGCATAAATTATACGAAAATACGTGCGCAAAAAACGCGCGCGACTTTAGCCGCGCGCAGCTAACAATTGGCAATTGCCACCCCAATGACAGAGACAAACGGCCGCCACTGGCCCTGGTGCTTGGTACATGGTACTTGGAAAGCCAGCTGCTCATAAATTGCAACAATTCCATCTGATAATTGTATTGATATGCCTCAAAATCGGTCTATATGTATTCGGTATGTATATATGTATAAATCGCCAACTGATCGCTGGCAAAGTCGCGTAGATCGCGTTTGCGCGTATTTGTGTATTTGTATATTTGTGTATTTTTGGTTTGTTGCTTATCAGCAAACGTCGCCGACAGAGACAACAACAAAACAATAATAATAATAGCCACGGCAACAGAAACAACAACAACAACAACAACAACAGCAAAAACAAGAGCAAATATAATAATAATATAAAAAAATAAAAAAAGGTCCAATGACGCGATAATAAACAATTTTGCACCCCAGATGTGTCCAGCTGCCCGGCCCAGAGACGCAGAAGTAGACCCCGCCAGCCAGGGGACAACCAGACTAGCGGAGGGGGTGCGGCTCCTTTGATTAGACGCACTTAAGTACAAAGCAACAACAGCAACAACAACAACAACAACAACCGCCATATCAACTGCTAAGAAATGTACAAGCCAACAGTCAGCGCTGTCGGTTCAGCTAGTTTCTAGCCAAGTTTGGCTATTTTCAGAGATGGTCAAGCGAATTCGGCTGAAATATGCAGCTGCCCGCAGCTTTGGCTTTTTTTTAAATAGATTTAGCCATTTTTTATATTATTCTATTTTTAACCAATTCGATCCATTTTTTGACACTCAATGTCTATTGTTATTTGGCACATTTTATTCTTTTCTATTATTTACTTATTTATCGTCTATCGATAACAAAATGTCAGGTTTTTGTCATCACTAACTAAACGTATACGTAATTTTTACTAAATGTGTTGATTTGTTCTTTGAAATAATGCCACAAACTACGGCTTGCTTCACATGCAGACTTTAAGCACTGCATGGCATAATTTATTGCTATATAAGAATCCGGAACTTGATTGGCCATAAAGGAAATAACTGAGAGTTTGGATGCACTATTAGGACAAGGAGCTGAACCTTTCCAACTGCGTGAAGTGCAGCTGCACTGGAGGCTGCTCTTTGCCATTCTATGTCCACCTCTTCCACAAATAGTATTCAGCTACTTTTAGCTGTTTTCAGCTTTTTTTCACAGCGAAAGTTGGCAACACTGGTGACAGTGTGTGAGTTTGTGTGTGTGTGTGTGTGTGTGTGTGTGTGTGTGTGTGTCTGCACGCCAATTAAACAGCGCCTGGCCTCAAGTGGGCCGTTTGATAACTTCCTCGCTGGCATTTGGAGTGCTCCAAACGGGGCGTTGATAACTTGGGATCATAAATGATGGCATGACACAACCAACCAGCTAACCAATTAGCTAACCAACCAACTAGCCACCCATCAAGTCGCCTGATCTGTGAATCACACAATATCAATCAGCATGGCAAAGGATGATATCATTCTTGCACTCCATTTGCACCCTTTTCCGTGCACTTCACGGCAAATGCGATCGATTATTAATTAAATTGGGTTGGTTTAAAACTGACCTACGAAAATATTTATAAAAATAATATAAACACTTATTTTTTATTGGTAACCATAATTTAATAATCTTATATTTATATGGGTATTAAGATTGTTTTTTCTCTCGATTGTTGTTCATAAATTTATATTTTGATTTTAATTTGCAAGTTGATTTTCTTATAATAAAAAATACTTATTCTTTAAACGTTTTTATTGGCACTTGAGAGACTTACTTATAATAAAACCTTTCTAATTTGTAGTTTATTCAATTTACAATTTTCGGTGGTTCGCTTCACGATTCGAACTAATGCCCCGCCTTTCTTACTCGATTATTTATGTTACTTAATGAATCAGAAAATTAATTGTTCCATTTGCATACCATATTCTTTAAATAATAATATAATATATTAATATCAAAGTATTTGAAATAATTTTATTTAAAATTATTGTTTCTCAAAATTGTTCAACCCAGCCTTGTCCCATAATATAACTCCTTTAATTCCCAAACACATTCATTCCCAAGTACTTACATAATTAACTTCTTTTCAAAATATGTGAATCCGCTAATTTTAAATCATTTACCAGACACGATCAAATGCAAAGGGGACGCGCCCTAAAAGTAAAATGCAAAAACCAAATAACTTTAGAATGTTGCAAATGTTTTGAATGTCTCGCTGACAGCTTGACTGTGGCTTAGAGAAATAAACCTGAATATTTATATTATGCCTCAATTATCTGACTTATGGGTAGCTCTTGAAATATGCGTACATTCGGGTACTTGTTCCTAACAAATGTACTCAAATAACTTTAGAATGTTGTAAATGTTTTGTGAATGTCTTGCTGAATGCTTGACTGTGTTTAAGAGAAATTAGAGGTGCCTCTCAGTAGCTTAAAACCTGAACACTTGTTACATTTCAGTTATAATAAGCGTACAACTAAGTACTTGATGCTTACAAATGTATTCATTTCATTTGTTTGACGCAAATGCACACAGTATGCGTAGAGTTGTTAGAAAGATTTGTGAATTTTGAATGCTCAACAGCAGATACTCAGCTAGTTATCTGGTTGATTGCTGACGTCTGGGTTCAGAGGTCATTTGGTGAATCAACTGCAGCTTAGACAGAGTTCGATTTGGCAAACTGATCGATTGACCCACGTCATTCGGACGCTTAACTTTGGCCGCGCGTGGGTCCCGAATACCAGCCGGAGTCCGTGTTCCAGCTCGTGCTTAGCCGAGTGTGTGTGCGTGTGTGTATATATATATTACGCATACGCCTGTTGCGCCTCGTGCGCAACGAAGTCCGCAATCGGCATCGCGACGGCTGATCAGTCGAGGCACCGAACTGGAAGCGGGTGCCAGTTCTCAGTCATCGCTTGGCTCTGGTGCTGGTGGCAGACGCGCGTCTCGTTCGACTCTTCCAATTGATATAGTTAATTTCACAATTTTTGTTGCTGTTATTGTTATTGTGATTTTTGTTGCCGTTCGATTTGATTTCATTCGATTTGCGCGGCAGTCCCGGCTGGCTAAACAAAAAGCGATGCGATCGTGCGCACCCACAGAAAAAGCAGAGACAGCGACAATAGCAACAGGGACAGCCATAGGCAGCTTATAGAAGCGGTTGAATAACAAAACATACCGACAAACACACGCACACATACTTATATATATATATATATATATTGATATATATATAAGTAAAGGAACGTATTGGCGCATTGATAGACGAGTTGAGCCAGTTGTGAATTGATCAGAGATGGAGCTCTATACGTCGGACAGCTCGGACACGGACTCGCGTGAACAGAAGACCATCGATTTCGGGCGCATGAACTTGGATGTGGGCACGCTGGAGGATCATCTGAGCTCGCCGCACAAGGGGCTGCTCAAGACGAGCGGGGACATCGAGACGCTGCTGCTGAACCACAATCGGCTGGTGTTGCTGCCGCGCATGCTGCAGCAGTTCAGCAATTTGAAGGTGCTTGATCTTAGCTCCAATGCGCTCACCCAGCTGCCGGAGGCCATTTGCCAGCTGCCGCTGGTCACGCTGATTGCCAAAAACAATCTGCTGACCAACTCGTCGCTGCCCAAATCGCTGCTCAGCAAACAGTTGGCCAATGGGCATGGCGCCGCCGTTGGCACCTCCACGTTGAAGGAGCTCAACTTGAGCGGCAATCAGCTGCTCCACTTTCCAGAGCAGGTCACCGAGCTGCGTCAGCTCAAGTATCTGTATTTGGGCGGCAACAAGATCTCGACCATATCCAAGGATATCTGGAAGATGCAAAGGTATCACACGCCCAAACCAATTAAATACTCATACAATTCACCTGTCATTTGATCTCGCTTTCTCTCTCTCTCTCTCTCTCTCTCTCTCTCTCTCTCTCCCTCCCTCTCTCTCTCTCTCTCTCTCTCTCTCTCTCTCTCCCAATCGCGTGACCCACTTCACAGCCGATGAAAATGATTCGTTAGGCGCCAGCCCGCCTTTTTTTTTCCATAACAATTTTCCATTTTCCCTACGCCGCGCGTGCTCAGCCTCTCTTGTTGTCAAGCGTCATACTCGATGGGGGCAGGGGATACCAGGCGGCGGTTGGGGGTACAAGTCTATTTGATGGTCCGATAAGCGGACTTTCGAGTGGCCCGGGGCGCGCATTGTAAAAGCCAAATCTATCGCAAAACACGTACTTGACCGTAACGACTCGAGACCATAAAGGTACATATACAGCCGCAGTCTATGGGCATATTTATAAGTAAACACAATAATAAATAAAAAAAAAATTAAAAAACAAACATAACAAAATAATATGCGAAGCAATTCCAATGCGAATCACTTATCACAAACACCGAACTTTGTGACCAGCCACAAGAGATTACACAGCGTGGAAAAACCGATTCCGATTCCGATTCCGATTCAGATTCCGTGCCGAGAACTCAATTGTAACATTTAGACAGCGTATGATATTTTATCAGCCCAGCTAGATAATATGCACGATAGCGAAAGCTTCGACTTGGTTAACATAACGCCACAGATAAAACATATTTGTCTTCTTTTTTTATCGGGACGCTTACCTTAGGCACCGCTTGATCAATTTATTTGTCTTTCAATTCGACTTGTGCAAGTTTTTAAAGTTTTTTACCGTTTGAGTTATCTTGGACAGTGTTTAGTTTCTATCAGGAGTTTTACTCCAAAGATTCCTTGAGATACCTTTTACTCTAGGTCCTCAACAGCAAAAAGTTTCTTTTCTTATTGAATAGTTATGCCTTGTACAGCTGCTTTTAGAAGAAGGTTCCCGGTTCGAATCCCAGGCGAGTGCATGGCTGTGTTGTTTACTATAAAACAAATAATCTTGATATATTCTCCTATTTAAAACTTAACCTTAACTAGAAGAGTTTAAGCGACCCTCCGAAACTCGTATACCCCGAACCCATTGCAAATAAATAGGCCATAATTGTTTTGCATTCAAGTTAGTTGCCCTCAAATAGATTAGATATCGCTAAGTATGTATATTAACTACTAGACAGCTACAAATTTAGCCAATGAATACTTTTTAACTTGAGAGCCAATTGATTCTGTTCTTTTTTTTTTTAGATATATTTTCTTTGTTCACGGGTTTAACGATTTTATTAAACGGGCCGTTTATAAGCTCTTAGATAGCAACTATTTTATATCGGACTATTTACCCAAGAAATTTGATAGCGAAAACTTTTTACGAACTCTATGTGGTTCGTGTTCGAGAACAGGAATAGGAACTTAATTGATGAGTATCAATTAATTAGTAGTAATTATAGTTATTGTTAATTATAATTTCAATTACTATTAAACATTATTCATAAGTAAGGAATATTTATTCATTATTTTATCTGAATACTCACCCAGAGATTTCTTTGATCAGAAACGTTATTTACCTAAGGAACTATAGAACTACAGAGGCTATTCGATTTGTTTATATCAGAATATTAGAATATTCAGCATAGCATTATATCGAAAGATCGACTCAAGATCCAGCCCCTAATGCGAGTCAGATCTGTCTTCCAACCGAAGCCCATGTGGAGGCAACCCATCCCGCAGTTAAGAGCCATGCTTCGTGTCTAACATTTTTGTTTTCTCCGCCCACACAGTCTGCATGTGCTTTCGCTGGGCGGCAATCTGGTCAACGAGGTGCCGGAGGCGGTTGGCTCGCTGAGCCAGCTGCAGGCGCTGGTGCTGTGCGACAATCTCATCGAGAATCTGCCGATGAGCATTGCGCGCCTGAAGAACCTGAAGTCGCTGCTGCTGCACAAGAATAGACTGAAGCACTTGCCCAAGGACATTGTTGCACTGAAGAACCTGACCGAGGTAAGTGCAGGAAAAGCTGTCGCAGAGCTTGACTCAAACTAATTCTCCTTTTCAATCTTAGCTGAGCTTGCGGGATAATCCGCTGGTGGTGCGCTTTGTGCAGGACATGGCCTTGAAGCCGCCGACGCTCTTGGAGCTGGCTGGTCGCATTGTCAAGGCCAGTGGACAGCGGCCGGGTCCCGGGGATCTGCCGCGCACACTGGCCGAGTATCTGAACAGCGCCAACTGCTGCGTGAATCCCAACTGCAAGGGCGTCTTCTTCGATAACCGTGTGGAGCACATCAAGTTTGTGGACTTCTGCGGCAAGTACCGCGTCCCATTGCTGCAGTACCTCTGCTCCTCGAAGTGCATTGAGCCCGAGGAGCCATCGAGAGCCTCCAGCAGCAATGCCAGCAACGCCAGCAGCGGCTTCATGATGCGCAAGGTACTCCTGGGCTAGACGGCCAGGCAACTAGGTACGGGTCCGGGTCCGTGAATTGTGCCCAACCGTTCGACAAGTCGTTGGCTCGGCCAGGCCCCAAGCGGAACCGAACCACTCGTCGATTGGCTGTGTGGTGTTGTTGCGGCGGAGCCGCACTCTGAAATCCATTGGCTTTATCACAATACCAAAATTTTCACCAAATTTGCTATATGAATTTTTTGTTCATTGTTATGTTATTTTATGCTATCAAACCCAACATGAAATATATATATACGCATGTATCCCCAAAAGTTTTGTTTTTCATTATACCCAGAACCCATTAAAAATGGGTATAAGGGTATATTCTATTTGTGCAAAATCCAAATGTATGTAACAGGAAGAATGAAGCTCTTGATCAGCATCAATAGCCGAGTCGATCTAGCCATGTCCGTCTGTCCGTCCGTCTGTCCGTCTGTCCATCCGTCCGTCCGTATGTATGAACGCAAGGATCTCAGAACCTATAAGGGCTAGAGACTAGAGACTGAAATCTTAGATGTAGATGCTCCTAGTTCCCGCGCAGATCGAGTTTGTTTCCGATAATCGATAACTTACTCCGTTTCCAAGCAATCGATAAAAATCGATATCCTGTTTTTCGGGCAATTTTGGTAAATAATAAGAGCTAGAGTCACCAAACTTCACATAAAGCTTCTAAAATAGAATATACTTATGTATGCATTTGATGTTGGAAGAAGAAAAGGGAGCTCCCGACTAGAACCTCAAAGTAAGTATATTGATTTAGATAAAGCTACCTATTTATATGGCTTGAATAAATCCAGTGGAGAGAGCTCGATTGGGACAGTACTTCCTTTAGCATAATTTAATGAATCTCACTTGAGATACTCCAAAAAAGGTGGACTTTGCAAGCGAAACGTTTTTTGGCCAACAACTCTTTTTAATGAATGCCATATGATAGTAGGGATCCGTACGCATTCAAAAAGGTATAACATTTAATAATGAGATTATATTTACCCGAGATTTTCAAAAAAAAAAACGTCAAACAAGTTGAGATATTCGAACCTACGCCGATTTTCGAAAAAAACGTGATGTAACCCCTTGCTTTTTGGTCGATTTGGCTCAAAATTTAGATTTTTATTTTTCTGATGCCAATCGATAGTACTGATCCTTACGAATCAAAAATAGTACAAAATTTCAAAATCTGAGATTATTTGGCCGAGATAGTCTAAAAAAAGTATCAAAAAAGGTTGATTTTACAAACGAAACGTTTTTTTTGTCAACAACTCATTTCAACCCATAAATTTTTAATTTTTTTGAATGCCGTATGATAGTAGGGATCCGTACGAATTCAAAAAGGTATAATATTTTCAAATCAAATTATATTTACCCGAGATTTTGAAAACATATTCAAAAAAGTTTTGATATTCGAACCTACCCCGGGTAATAGCTCTCGGGTAATAGCTCTCGGGAAATAGCTCCGCGCGGAGATATGACGTTCCAAAACGACATAACTCCGCTGGGGATATGACGTTCCAAAACGACATAACTCCGCGCGGAGATATGACGTTCCAAAACGACATAACTTCGCGCGGAGATATGAAGTTCCAAAACGACATAACTTCGCGCGGAGATATGACGTTCCAAAAACAAAATAACTCCGCGCGGAGATATGACGTTCCAAAACGACATAACTCCGCGCGGAGATATGACGTTCCGAAACGACATAACTCCGCGCGGATATATAACGTTCCAAAACGACATAACTCCGCTGGAGATATGACGTTCCAAAACGACATAACTCCAATGGACATATGACGTTCCAAAACGACATAACTCCGCGCGGAGATATGACGTTCCAAAACGACATAACTCCGCGCGGAGATATGACGTTCCAAAAAGACATAACTCCGCGCGGAGATATGACTCTCCAAAACGACATAGCTCCGTGCGGAGATATGATGTTCCAAAACGACATAGCTCCGTGCGGAGATATGACGTTTTGTTGATGTCATAAGTTAGGTTAGTTTGTCTGGCTGTCAGACCAAGAATCTGACACACCTAGGCCCCTATGCGCCGATTATCACTAAGAATATTTGGAATTCAGCTGAATTGCCTTTGTTTCAATAGACCCGTGATAACAGCTTTATAATTGCATGGATTTGAATGCGGTATAGTCCATGGATATGAGGCGACCAAACAATATTCCATTCCTAATGTTTTTGCTGAGAATTAAAAATATCGACCGATAGTTCCTATGGGAAAAGTCATCTAATACGAGCAAATCCGACAGATAAAATAAAATGTATGTAGCTGTAACTGAAATATTTTCGACATTTTTGGAATGTTATACCATTTTGACTTCGTACGGATGGATCCCTACTATCGATTGGCAATTCATTGAATCTAATATCGGGGGCTGACATCAATGTTTTTGAAACCAAATTTGGAATGATGTCAATCTCTTTGATTATTTTTTTGGAATAGCTCGGCCAAATAATGTCCGATATTTGGGATATTCCCTCTGAATGATCCTGAGAATACCTTACCCCAAAGTCTGTGGCCTCTCAAGCAATTCTTTGTAAGATTCTTCGAAGCTTCGATATAATGTATAAATGGACCTGGGAATCTTTTCTTCTGACTACACCAAGCTTTCAACTATTTACCCTTAACACAATGACTTGAAATAGCTGAAAGTATCGTAAATAAAACCATGGCATATAGAATATAGTATTACTTATCATAAGGGATTTATTTTTAAACGGTTTTTCTCTTTCGGTAACAAAAGACTGGAGATCGCAGCTAATTCGGATCTTTGCTTATGTTTAAAGAACTGAAACTAATGCATAAATAAATGTAAGTATAATTGGTATACAAGTTGTAATTAGTTTAAGTGCATAATACAATTCCCTCACACGCACACACATGCACACACACACACACACACACACACATGCACACACATTCGCACAAAAATAAAAAGCAAGCTCGTAAAGGCAAACGCGCATCAGTTTTGGTCCATTTTCGGGCTCGTAGGACCCATGCCATATTTTGAAACTGGCACGCGCGACAGTTGAAAAAGTACATATATATATATTTGTATATATATATACATATGTGTATACATATAGATCTATAAATAAATATGCATGTACTCTCTTTATCATTATTGGTTTTTCGTAGGCAAAACAACGACAACCGAAATATACTTAACATTCATAATTTTTTGATTTTTGTTTTTTGTGTGTTTATAAATACATTTTCAATGTTTCCAACAACAACAATTGAATTTCAATACATATATATATATATAGATATAACTATATATATATATATATATATACATATATAAATAACTATGCTTAACGAGCTAATTCACAATTATATCTCCGTTTAAAATATATTCAAATATATATGTATCTTTTTATATAATTTGTTTGTATTTTGAAAGCTTTCAATTTGAGTGCCATTTTGTATTGTTTTTTGTTTTTTGTTTCAATTTGTTTTGCTAATTGATTTGATCGTCTTGTTGCCCTATCGATAAGCGATAACGATAACGATAACGATAACAACCGAAGACTAAAACTATAAGCATGGCATTAAGAGCCGCAGTGAACGCGCTTGGAACGAAATGGAAACGGAACATGAAATCGATGAAAATAATTTGTTTTTATATGTTTTTATTGATTATTTGTTGTGTTTTGTGTTTTCTTGCACGTTTATGTTTACGTTTATGTCTGTATAAATATTTACAAATAATAATTGAAATGAAACATAAATTAGTTATATACTACATATATGTCTATATATGTATGTATGTATGCATGTATATGTATAATTGAAAAATAATTTCTATATGTAATTTAGGTATTTCCTTCCAACACTTTTTCTTACGTTTTCTTTTCGATTTGTAGTCGCTGTGTAAGGTTGTAATTAAATAATATTAAAAAAAAAAGTTTATGCTTAAAAAGAAAAGTAACTATTTCTAGTGGTAAGTTATAGTGTATTTATGTCTGTGTGTGTCTGTGTAGGTGTGTCTCTGTGTGTGTGTGTGTGTGTGTGTGTGTGTGTAAATGAAGAAACCAAATGTAAACAGACAGTTTAGACAGATTGCACAAACTAAAGCCCCGAAAGAGCATTCATGCATAGCTCTTATAATACAATAAAGCCCCAGGAACCCAAGTGCAGCCACAACAGCTGGGCTCTGAGCCTAGGGAGGATATACAAAAATGTGTTAATGATGATTGAATGATACAGATTTTGGCAGCATTTAGTTTGTGCACCAGCTTCTTTCCACACCAACTATCTCTCTCTCTCTCTCTCTCTCTCTCTCTCTTAAACAACTCGCATCTGTCTATGAATATGTGTATATATATATTACTATATATTGTATGCCTGTATGCTAACCACTAGCAATTTGGTATCTATAATACACGAATGCCCAGTTTGTTTTCTTTACTCTTGCTTGATGTGCATTAAAATCGAATAAAAAAATAGATATATATATATATATATATGCATGTATGCGAAGGAGATATATGTATGTAAATATATATATTTATGTATATAGTATTAATGTATGGTATATATCTGTTCTGTTCTATCGCGTAACGATGTTAACTTTAAAGGCTCAGTAAGAAAAAAAAACATGATCAATTAGTTAAAACACATGCCCCCCCAACTAATATAATACTAAACACTACCAAGTATATGTGCCTACCCTATATATAGATATATCGATATATCGATATATATATATATATATATATATATATAGACTATAAAACGCATAACTAAGTCTAATGCAGCAGAAAATCGTTTTGTTTCTTTTCTTTTTTTGTTTAACTGCTTGCTTTCGTCTTGCTGCAATTCATCAACTCTCGCCTTCTCTTTCGCATCTATTTGTAGTTTTCAACCCTAGCTGTATATATATATATATATATATATATATATATATATATATATATATATATATATGTGTGTGTGTGTGTGTTTATGGTATACTCTTATGCGTAACCCTAGTACTCTCTATATTTAAGTTTTTGCATGTTGTTTTGTTTTGTTTTCCATTTTCGTGTTCCCTTCTTCTTCTACGCATCTTCGCTTCTCTATAGGTTGTTCTTATGGAATATATATATATATATATATATATATGTTTTATTCTAAAACCTAATTAAAAAACACCCTGACTCTGATCTCTGATCCATCCAATCTACCTCCCTTCATCTCTCTCTCTCTCTCTCCCTCCCTCTCTCTCTCTCCCTCTCTCTCTCACTCTCTATCCGCTTCTCTGTTTCTCCGTCTCTGTCTCTATCTCGCTCTTTCTCGCTTATATTATTATATATCTTTTGAAATGCATTTGCTTTTGCTTGTTCTTCTCCTGCTCCTGCTCCGCCTCGTTCTGGTTTCGCTTATACTTATTAGTTTCTGGTTGATTCGCTTTCCTCTCACTGGCAGGATTGAGTTCTAACTGTAGTTGGTTCAGGCATCGGGCCAATCATCAATCTTTGTGCCCGCCGGCATCATTGGTTGCTGTTCCTCCTAATCCTCCGCCGCCGCCGCCCATGTGCTGTGGTATCACCGTGAGACTTTTGGGTATCTTGGACATGATGACATTGTCGATGAGCTTCTGCTGCTGCTGTTGTTGCTGCTGCTGCTTCAGGGTAAATGTGATGCCACCCAATCCTCCTCCTCCGCCGCCCGCAGAGCTCGTTGCCGTCGCCGGCTTGGCCGTCAGATGCGGGAATTTATTGGCCGCTGCTGCTGCGGCGGCGGCGGCAGCACCATTCAATATATACTGATTGGCATCCGGAAAGTTCTTCCACAGCCAGGAGCTGTTGCTATCCAGGCTGACGCTGCTGTTGTTTGCCGCCGCCGCCGCAGCCGTTGCGGCTGCCGCAGCCAGCGCATTGCTGAGCATCGGCTGAAAGCTGGCTGGCGATGACTGCGCTTGTGACTGTGATTGCGATTGTGATTGTGACTGGGCGCCACCGGCCGCTCCACTGGCATTCTGTGGATTGCTCAGCGGCGGCATGGGCTTCGGTGCGAGCCGTGCCAGTCGCAATGCGCTGCCGGCGGCAACTCCGCCCGGCTGCAGTGTTGGCAGCTGTTGATGTTTGTGTTGCTGTTGTTTGTGTTGCTGTTGCTGCTGTTGTTGATGTTGTTGATGATGTTGTTGATGTTGCAGCTGTTGTTGATGTTGCTGTTGGAGCTGCTGCAGCTGCTGGCGTGCAGTTTGCTTGGCTGCGTCTATTTTGGTCATGTCGCGCAAGAGCTTCTCACGCCGCAAGATGCACATGCGATTGTAGTCAATGATTGAGATGAGGTATGGCTTGCCACCGGACTGGACCTGCACCTGGGCGGGCAGACGTCGCCCGTCGGCTGTTTGGAACAGCGTTGGCGACTTACTCGGCACCTTGTGCTGCTCCTTGAGCGGTATCAGCGTCGGCTTCCAGCTCTTGCTCTCGTGCCGCTCCTGCGGCGTCAGCTTATCCGGTAGCATAATCACACTGGGCGCACCAGATCCCGAACCTGAGCCTAAGCCCGCGCCCGAACCTGAGCCTGATCCTGAGCCCCCGCCGGCTGCGCGCGGCAGCTGCAGCCGTTTGCCCGCCAGCGTTGGCAGCGTAGCGGCACTTGCCGAATTGGCGGCACTCGTGCGGCGACGCTGCAGACTAATCAGCTCCGGCGGCGAGCTGAGCAGCTGCGCCACATTGGGCGGCGGCTTTGGTGTCGGCTGCTGTTGTAGAATTGTGGGCGCGGCGTTGGCCAACATCGGCTTAGACTTCGGCTGCTGCTGCTGCTGCGGCAGCTCGTTGTGGCTATGGCTGCTCACCAGCTTGTTGGCCATGTCCAGCAGCTTGTGCGGCTTCTCGTTGGATGCAGACGCGGACTTATGATTGGAATGCGACTGCTGCTGCTGCTGTTGCTGTTGTTGCTGTTGTTGTTGGTGCTGACTGGTTGCGAGCGGCACAATTTCCACCGCCTTGTTTATGCCGAGCAGATTGGTCTTGAGTATGCTGCGGCTATTGGACGCATTGGTGGGCACCAGCGGTGGCGCATCCTTGGCTTGCAGAGCCGCTTTCACCGGCGACGATTCCTCGCCGACAGCTGCTGCTGCTGCTGGCAACGCTGTAGCTGTTGTTCCAGTCGCTCCAGCTGTGGCTTTGGCGCTGTCTTTGGGTCGCGCTATGATGGTTACCGCATTGGAGCTGAGCTGCTTGGTCAGCTTGTCTACGGAGACAGTGCGCAGTCGGTCCAGCGGCAACAGTCCGCACTCTGGCGCATAGTCGGCCGTATCCTCCTTGTCCGCATCCTCGTCATCGTCATCATCATCGTTCAGCTCCACCAGCGGAATAATGGGCTCCGGCTGGCCAGACGGCTGTTCCATGCCGCTGTTATTGCTGCCCTGGGGCGTGGTCAGGGCGTTGGCGAGCACGCTGCTGCTGCCGCTGCTGCTGTTGTTGTTGTTGTTGCTGTTGCTAGCATTGGGCGAACAGGATTGACTGGCATTGGCTGGCGGGTTGGCAGCATTCGGTGAGGAGGAGGAATAGGAGGAGCAGGAGGAGGAAGCGGCGACGGCGGCGGCATTTGTCTTGGCATTGCTTTGGAAGCCACCGCAATGACCATGATCATAGGAATTGAGACGCTGTCGCACGGTCTGCGTATAAACGCTGGCATTGGAGGAGGCGTGCGCGGCAAGCACGAGGTCGCCATTGCGATAATACTTCTCCAGCAGTATGAGATGGCGCAAAAAGGAGCTCTGATTGCCGTACGGCTTCTGCAGCTCCTCCCAGAGGCGGCGCGTCGGCTCATCGTACTGCAGGAACGTTTGGACGCGCGTCCAGCCCTCCGGCGTGCGCTGGCTGCTGCTGCTGCCGAAGGGCACCTTAAACTGCACGCCCAGATCCTCCTCGCCGTGGAAAAGTTCACGCATCGAGATGTTCGGATTGCCGCGCAGCACATTCGAAATGTCGGCACCGGCCTTGCCCTTAGCATTGGCATTGGCATTGGCATTGACATTCGCATTGGAATTGGAATTGGAGTTGCCTGTGGCTGTGGCTGTAGCTGTCGCATCGCCAGCCAAATTCTGCTGGAGTATGGCCTGCAGCTTAGACATTTGTTTGCTGGCGCTGACCGCATGCCCGATGGGCGTTGTTGAGGAGCTGCTCGAATTGGAATCCGTGGGGCCATCATAGTCCACCACCATGGGCATTTCGCTGGAGGCATCATCACAGGCGCTAGCCGCTGGAGCCGTGCCGGCGCCAGTTGAGGCACTGCATCCGGCGTTGGCATCCTCCTCATCCACCTCGGATGCCTCGTTGCTGCCATCCTGCAGATTGTGCACCTTAAGGAGCCTGCAAAAGCGAGAAGCCCGATTAATAATCGGATAACAGCAAGTCACATTCTGCAGCCAATCGCTCGCTCACCTCTTGCGATAGTTCTTGACAAACTCGGCCTTCTGTGACTTGGTGCTGTCCGGCGGTTTCATCAGCAGATTGGCAAAATAGCGGCACAGCTTGCAGACGGCGGTGCCGACGCCCAGCTGCACGGGTATGCCCATCTCGCAGAGCGCCTTTTCCAAGCGATCCGTGTCCTGCTGAGAAATGGAATGACATGAAGTTTAAGATTGACAGAGAAAGAGAGAGGGAGGGAGAAAGAGAGAGGGAGGGAGAAAGAGAGAGGGAGAGAGAGAGAGAGGTGGATGCTTACCGAGGTAATGTGGTACATGTGATTCTTGCCCAGACGACGCTTGCACAGCACACAGCCGGACGACTGGATGACCGTATTGTAGTGGGGCTCACAGAGCCAGACGCTCGAGGTGCCCGCCGGTATCTCGAAGTTGAGCAGGCACTTCTTGACGCTCTTGCGAACGCATTTGCGCCGCAGCGAATGGCTGGCCGCATCCGCGCAATCCTTGACAGCGCAAACACGCTGTGCCGCCGATCCGGAGACGGCGCCCGACGAGGTCGTTGCAAACTCCGCATCGCCAGCATCTCCCGTGAAATGTTTGTCCATACTGTTGCCATTGCCGCCGCCCACGCCCATGGTGGTGTTGCTGCCGTTGTTGTTGTTGTTGCCCGTCTCGAGGTGGCCGGGCGCCGAGAGACGCTTTTTGTAGGAGGGCGCATTGGCGCGACGATCCACATGGCGGAAGCAGGCGTCGCACAGGCAATTGTCCACCGTCAGCTTCTCCTCGTCTGCGGCACAATTCGTGTCAGTATACAAAAAATACATTTCTAGTTAAGGGCGCGTGCCACATACTTGCAAGTATCTTCTGCTGGCGCTCCACGGACTTGATCTGGCCGACGTGGCAGGGCGTATCGTATAGTCCAAATTTGCCGCTGCAATAGTAGCACTGGTCCTCGCACAGGCGACCCGGATGAAACTTGAACGAGGACGCCTTCTCCGGTATCAGAATCTTCTCCTTCTCATCCTTCTTCACCATCTGATAGAAGCCGTGCTCCACTTGACCGCCGTGACCCTCCGAATGCGATGAATCTGTGTGTGTGCGCGTATAAATATATATATATTTAGAAATGTATACATTAAATATGTGGACGTGGCAGACATTTAACATAGCAACATGCCAACTTAAGATACCCTCTAAAAAAACATAATACAACTTATTAAGGAGGATTTTTGGAATCCCCGATTCCAATGATTGCGACAGACGGATAATGGCTAGGCTCAAGAAGTTCGTGCACCCGCTTTTAGACATCCTTGCAACCGGATTCTGGTTAATATCTTGTTTTTTATAATATCTTCACTTTAATTTAACAATTGAACTTTTCATCAATAAAAAAAACAACAATTGGGTCCACAGTTATTTATACTTTGGTGGTGAGTCTCCCTTAAGAGTATTTTATGTTGAGCCAAACTATTTTAGATCAAATTATGATTCGGTTTAGGTTTCAGTGTGGCTAATTGATTTGTCTTACAGTTCGGTTCGGTTAAACAATAAATGAAAGTCCCAGAAAGTCTGTTTGCAGGCGATGTGATCAGAGATAACTGCTGCTTCTGCCGGGGACACAGTTGAGATTTGTTTGACCAAGTCGAAGACTTATAACTGAGCGCCATGAGCCAGCCCCCTCCAGAGCCAAATCAAAAAAAAAAAAGCAAACAAAACGAAGCAAACACAAAAACAAGTTCAACACCAAAACACTCGGCACCAACCCAGGCAATTTCTGGAGGACGCGTTGTTGTTGTTGTGCTGTTTCTGTTGTTGCTGCTGATTGCTGCTGCTGGTGCTGTTGTTGTTGTGATTGTTGTGGTTGTTAGTGTGGCTAAAACGATTAGTTGTCTTGCGGCCCACGTTACCCGTATTCAAATTGTTTCGATTGATCGCACCTTCGTTCTGCAAATGGAAGTAGAAGGAAAAGGAGAAGAAGGAGAAGCACGAATTAGCATTTGTTGTTGCGCTTGTCTCTGTTGCGTCTGCTTACCTCGTTCTGTATGGTGTAGTAGGAGTCCTCGGCATGGGTGCCATGCTGATCAGCGGCACGGTCGGCAGCGCCGTGCCCGCGTGCGCGTCCCTTTTGGAATGTCATCTTGAGCGACTGGCGACGCACACCGTGCGTCGAGCTGGCCGCTGCGCCAGCGATGCCGCCTTTGCGTGTCGCGCTGCCCATGCTGCTGGCAACAGCTGCCGTTGTGCTGATGCCAGCGACTGGGCCGCCGTGGATAACTGTGCCGGTGGGCACGCCCGTTGCGCCGCCGGCGCCGCCATTGCTGCTGCGATTCAGCTTGATGACCGTCTTCAGGGTGCCGCTGGACTCGATGTGCGCGGCGCTGCCACCTTTGCCTGCTGACCGCTTGCCGGTCTGCTGCTGTTGTTGTTGTTGCTGCTGATGCTGCTGCTGTTGCTGTTGGTGGACGGCGCGCGTGTGCGTGTGTATGTACTCCTGGCGCAGCTGCTCGGCGGCCTGGTGTGTCAGCAGGCCGAGATGCTGCAGATGGCGTTCCTTTTCGCGGCGCAGCTCATCGTCGCCATCCGTCAGCATTTTGAGTTTGCCATTGGCCTCAGTTTTGGGCAGTTGCTTCTGCTCGGCTGCGACGGCTGCCAGCGGCTTCTCCTCCTCCAGGTCGGCCAGATCCTGTTCGAGCTTGGCGGCGGTGCCATCTTCTGTCTTGAGCGCCAGTTCCAGTTCCATGACGGCATCTGGACTGACGGCAGATGCAACACCAACGGCAACGGCAATGGCATCTGTTGTGGCCGTGGACACATTCTCCTTGTTCTCCTCGGGATATTCTGCGCAGTCTTCGGTTAGGATTTGCATGTCGGTGTCATCATCGGCCACAGCATTCGCTTCGGCTTCCTGCTCCTCGGTCAATGGCTCCACCTCCAAGGTGAGCACCATTTCGGCGGGCAGCTTCTTTTCGGCTTGCACATCCAGCTCCGCCGCCAACTGAGCCGTATCACATTCAATGGTTGCCATTGACGACTCCTGCTGCTTCTGCTGCTGTTGCTGCTCCTCGTGGTCCTGCTCCTGCTGGAGCTTGCTGGCGCTTAGCGCGTTACCGCTGGCATCCACGACGCCCTCCTTGGCCAGCTGCTCCATAATCTCGCTTTCAAAGTCATCATAGTCATCTGCCTTGGCCGGCAGCTCCTCGACCTCACCATTAAGCTCGCCCGGCGAGCTGACAGCATCAACTACTGCTGCTGCTGCTGCCGCTCCAGCTGCTGCTGTTGGCTTTTGTGCCTCCTGCTCCGTCTCATCGCCGCTTTCGTCCACGCGCAGCTCACCCATGCTCCCAGCACAGGAGTCGTTCAGTTTACCCTCCAGCTCCGTCTCTGCCTCCGTTTCGAGCTCAATTACAACCCCATCTGCCGGGAGAGGCTCCTCTTCATCAGGAGGTGCTGCTGTCGCCGCCGCAGCATTTACTGTTTGCGTCTCGCTTGCAATTTGCACAATCTCGCCCAGCTCCGGGTCCTTCTCGATGCCCAGATTGTTGGCCAGAAACTCGGGCTTCTTGTAGAACTGCTTAACGCTAATGGCGCTGACGCCTTCACTGATCATCTCGGGGCTCAGCGAGGGCGCCTTGGCAGCCTCATTCGATTCAGTTTCGGCTTCGGCTTCACCCTCGCCCTCGGCCGGGACGCCAGCGATCTGCTGCTGCAGTGCATCCTCAGTGCTTTTCACCGTTTCTGTATCCACGGTCAGCGGCTCAGTGCCATTGGCAGCCGCTGCAATCGAGGTGGAGGCCTGCGCCTGCTCAGCGAGCTCGGACTCCGGCTCTGTGGTCTTAGCAACCGCATCGAGACTCTCGTCGAAATCGAGCGCCAGTTTCTCCTGTTTGATCTCCGTGGCGGCCAGCAGCAGATCGTCCATGGAGGTGGAGGTCAGACTGTCCTTGGAGTCCTCGTCGCCGGCAGCGCCGCCAGCAGAACTGGCGGCCAGCGAACTTGAGCTGGCAGATGCCGCCTTGGCAGCCAGCAGGCTGCGATTTGCCGAGCCCACGCGCCGCCGCTTCGGCGGCGTTGGCTCCGCGGGCGTTGTCGTTGTTGTCGCGGCCAACAAGCCCGGCGAGCCCGCTTTGCTGTGACGTGTTGCGCGCGTGCTGGCAGCGCTGGCTGTGGCGGTGGGTGTTCCCTTGGTCTGCGGCCTGCCGCGTCCGCGTCGATGGGCTGATTGCGGCGTAGGCGTAGCAGCGGGTGATTGCGGCTCCTCGCTGTCCGGGGGCTCCAGCTTAATGCTCAACGCGCTGGATTTGGCCTCATCCGCGGCACTTGTGGACTCGGTCTCATCCTCATCATCCTTGACCTCAACCTTGGCATACTTGAGGCCCAGTTCGGCGTCATCGTCGGAGCGCTTGCGCTTGAGCAGCTGCTCCTTGGTTGGCTCTGGCGGCGCTGGCTTTTTTCTTCGGCCGCGCGCAGGCAGCTGTGGCTCGTTGTTCACCGTCGATGACTGGCGGCGATTGCGGGTGACGCGCGTGTTGTTGTTGTTGTTGGCCAGCGCCAGCTCCTGGGCGTGCGCTTTGCGTGTGACGCGATTGCACGTGGTTGGAGTTGATGCTGTTGTTGTAGTTGTTGTTGTTGTCGCTGCTGTAGCTGGCGTTGTGGGCGTGGGTGTCGTTTCCTTTTCCTTCTCCTTCTCCTTCTCCTTATCTTTGGAGTCCTTTGGGGTATCCTTGGCGTCCTTATCCTTTTCGCTTAGCTTTGTATTGGCATTGTCTTTTGTGTCTTTCGTTTCTTTCGGCTCTTTTGCTGCCTGATCCTGCTCCTGCCCCTGCTCATCGAGTTCCATTGCATCGCTGGACTCCTCCTTGACCAGCAGCTCTTCCGCTGGCTTGGCGGCTACTTCTTTGGCTTCTTTTAGCTCCTTGATGGACTTGCGGCCGCGTATTATCGGCAGGTTGCCGCTTTGCCGCTCCGCTGAGCCCTTTCTTTGGCTGCTGCCACTGGGCAGCTCCTCGTTATCGCTGCCAGCTGACGTTCCCGCTGCCGCTGCCGCCGGTTCGAGTGTCTCTCGCGCATCTCGCTTGCTCGTCGGCGAAGAGCTGTGCAGCAGCAAAGGCGACGAGTGACGCGTCACGCGCACATTCTTGGCGGCCAGGGTCTCGGAGCATGACTTTCGCGGCGTGCCGCATTCTGTGATCAGTGGCGAGGGATCACTATGTCGTTCTATCAGGTCAGTGTCCTGGTCTTTATTCTTATCCGCTTCCTGTTCAGCTTCATCAGCTGGAGCAGCTGCCTCAGCTGCATCTCCAGCTGATGCTGATGCTGCTGTGGCTGCTGTTGATGCATCCCCAGCTGCTGCTCCATCCTCGCCTGGGGCCGCATCCAGCTCAAGTGTGGGCGATGCATTATTATTATCAGGCTTTGCTCCTGCTCCTGCTCCTGCTCCTGCTCCTACTCCCACTACCGCTCCCACTACTGGTTTGCGCGCCGACATCTTCGATCCGTCACTGGGCTGTGCTGGTGACGCTGCTGTCGACGAGATCGACGCTCCTATTTTGAGGCTTGCGCTTTATCGGTCGCCAGCTGCTCCACCAGCTCCAGCTGCAGCTTTTGCTGCTCGCGTTCAGCCTGAATCTCGCAAATCTCTAGCTGCACTTTTACACACTTAAAGTCGTTATGATTTGGTCCCATTTGTTGACTACCTGTCAATAAAATATATTCGAATAAAGAAATACATCAGCACTTGTGCACTTCATGATAAACGGATCTTATATGATATCAAAGCGGAGCAGATGCAATTTTTCCGCTTCCTTTAAAAAGGACGAAAAGCTTTTCAAATCCCGAATGGGTTTTCTTCAGCACATATTTTAAGCGGACAAATGTTCGACGTAAAAGAACTGAAAGAGGAAATACCCAAGATATTTTGTTGTTTAATGATTTACACCTTGGATGACATACTAGTTTTTTTTTAAACAAAAAACTTAAAATATTGTGGTTCAACATGCACATTTAATAAATGTTTTACCGACTAACTGATACATATATAATCAATCCATTATTTAATATTCAAGAAGACATTTAAAAATTTAATTTTTTTTGTGCTAGATTTGCGTGGGATCACACCACTAATAAGACAGATAGTAAAAATCAAAAGATTCTTCTTTTTTGAGGACTCCAAATAGAAATCTTAAAAAATATATACATATATAAGAAACGAGACAAATGTATAACGTTCACTTATGTGCTTAAGGCCATCGCTTAATTAAGACTTTCCCCTGGTGCAGATTTTAATAAACAAATATTACGCATACGCCATGTAGCGGCCAATTCGCTGGCAGAAGACAAAACACAGACAAAAGGCGAGCCAACAGGCAACAGGAACAGGAAAGGGAAGCGTAGAAAGCGGCGTTAGAAGAACTGCAAAATACACACACGTCCCATTGTGACTGTCACTTACACCCCGTTAACGCTTGCTGCCCCCCCCCCCCCCCCCCCCCCCCCCCCCCCCCTTCTCCTCATCCTCCATAGCATGCGAGCCAGCCATAAGGCAAAACGAGTTTGAAAGCAGCAGCAACAGCAACAACAACAAGAGCAGCAGCTGCTGGGGCTGCCTATAGAAACTAACATTACGAGCTGCCGAGAGAGCTGCGTGCATAACGCCATTCAAATTGTGAGCGCAGCAAATTCATAGGCAGCAGGCGAATTTGGAGCGTCGTTGCTGGCGTCAACTGCGGACGAGAGCACATTGCGAATAACAAAAAAAAAAAAAAAACAAACAGAACAAAAAGGAACGATTGCTATTTGTCATTTTGCCTACTGATCCTGTCACTTTATTGTAGGCAGCAAGCACAGCGACGACGCGCGTGCGAGATGACAGGCGCCATTTTTGTGCGCTGCCTGTCGATGAAGAGAGCAGAAACCCAAGCCCAAGAGAGCGGATGAATTGGTTTCTTAAATTGTTGTTGGCAAAATGCAAGCAGTTGGGCGCAATAATTTCCATTTGCAGCGAAAATTGAGCACACAAAACACGACCTTCGCCTGGTCTGTGCAATTCTTGGGCTGCAATTGTATAAGCAGAGCAGCACAGGAGAAAATGGGCCTTCATTTCCCACTTCCACTTACACAAGTATAGAGCACAAAACGGATTTAACGACACTGACACATACACGTACACACTGGGTACGCGCTCACAAACGCACACACACTAGCGCAAGCAGTACGCTTCTCATCGTAAAATGACAAGCCGATGCCGCCACCACCCTCTGCAACGAAGGCGGTGGAAGTAGAAACACAAATGACAGCGACAACAAACAGCGAATAAAGGAAACAAAAGAAAATCGCAAATAACAAAATCAAAATGAAGTATACATATTAATGCACAAAACAAAAAACAAAAAAATTGGTATCGACACGCACACATATAGAATTGCATTATAGGCTACACATTAAGTATGCCAAACAAAAAAAATTAAAATTAAAATTAATAGAATTGAACCAAAATGCAGTTGTAAACACACTTACAAGCACACGCGCACGTAGCAGCCGCAGTCCCGGGGCTTTGGCATATTCTAGCTTGCTTTCTTCTCATTCAGTTTTATTTACGCTAACCAAATTTACGACACTTACTTTATATTACTTTCGGATAAAATAACAACCATTGAGTATTGCTTAAAATATTGCTCCGTTTGATCAAATCTGGCTTCTGCTTGTGTGCTGCACAGCGTTGCCGCACGCAGGGATGTAGGGGTAAAAATATCGATAGCAACAATAGTATCGTGCACAACACATCGATACACTAAATTTGGCCGTATCGATGTTTTATGGCTGCGGCAATTGCTGCAATTTGCAAATATTAAATCGAATTCGAATGGATCGCTAAGAGGCAACTGAAACAAGTTAGCAAAACCAAACTGCGAACGTAAAATTGTATATATTCATTGGATAACATTAGGATTTGTTTGATTCGTTTTTATGAGCGTCGCACGTGCTGCATTTGCCGATTGGGCGAAACTGGATCACCACTGGATCAGGTGTGTGGGTGCCGGGGGGGTATATGCCGCCTAATTTAAAAAAATAATTGCACGCAGATCGTAGGAAACTAACAGAAATTAAAAATGATTATATATGTTATTATAATATTGGTTTCATTTTAATTTAAGCTCATATCATTTTCAATTTGCAAACAAATGAAAATGTAAACAAAAAAATTACAAAAATTGACAACTGTGTTGAACAATTCGTTTGTTTTTGATTTTACACAGCACATTTCAATATAAGGACTTGCCAATTTCCACAATAACATTTGGTCACACTGAAGGCGCCTTATTTAGCACTTTGAATTTGAATAAATCAAAATGAATGAATGTGTAACTAAAGTTCACAAAAGGTTTAGTTTCGCTAAGATTGAATTACACAATTAAAATGAAAAAACCATAATAATACAAATCCAGAGCAAGAACAAGTCTGGACGCTGCGGCCAGATAGGTGGGCTAAACACGCCAGCAGGTGGCCGGGTTAAGATATATAATGAAACGGCAGCAAAGGAGATTCACCTGCCGCATGTGCCACAAATGAAACGAGGATAAACATTTTAGAGGTTGCACCATTTGATTATTTTTAATTTGTTTTGGATAAATGAATTGGCAAATTTAATTGAATTTTGAGCTTTGTTTTGTTTTCGTTGCATTATCGGTCAATTTGTTTGGGTTTGCTGCAATTTAAAATATTTTGATTTTCTTTTTAATTATGCATGGGAGCATTTTTGTTTGCGAATGATTTGCCATATACGCATACATGCAAAGATATGCATGTATGTGTGCATGTACATAAACAGCTCTCGCACGTACACACTCGCAGCACATGCACACACTCACACAAACACATAGTGGCACACAACAGGGCACATAGCCACAACGACGATACTTACTTAATTCTCTTTTTTCAGAGTCGCCTTCGCATCATTTGCGAATTTTCCGCATTTATTGTTATTCAATTGTACCGAAATCAATTCGAATTCGTATTAGAATTCAAAGTCGATGGAAACGCGGTCAGTTTTATATACAAAATGTACAAAAAAACTGCACAATCCAAAGCAGAGAAAAACAAAAAAAAAATAATAATAATAAAATAAAATGCAGAACCCGAACCGACAGAGTTGTGAACGCAAACACGGTACGAAGTGAAATAACAAGGCAAAATGGCAGCGCACAACATGCCAAAGAGAGCGAGAGCGGACAAGAGAACAAGAGAGCGTCACAGCGGCGAATACATATTTCGCCGCCGACTCTGACTCGACCACATGTAAGTGCTATCTCCGAGATACATTTATACCCTACACACTAGCCCAGACTTAGAAAGCGCCTCGGCAAAATCGCGATCCATAAAAAGGACACAAACAGAATAATTTTTAAACACCAAGTAAATAACAATCTTTATAAGCCGATATATGCCGACTTAAATTATCGATATTTATCGCCTGACAGTCGCCACTAACTGCTGAATAATGTTGTCATATAAGCAGCATTAACACAGTCAGCTATCTTAAATGTATGGCAACTCACTCACGCAGGTAATGTGGATCAGTGGGCGGTTGGTGTAGGGTATGCACAAGTCGACCAATGCGCTCCGGCTAGCTGTCTACGCTTACTTGTTTTGTGCTCTGCCGCGTTGCTGGTTTTGGCCTGGCGCACGACATCGACTGCAAGGACTAGAGCTAAGAGCAAATGCTTCGTTTTCGGCTAGGGGTAGCAATAAAACTAAAACTAAAGACTTTCAAGCAGCTTATGGCACACAATATTATGTAGTTTGATTCGCCTGATGTTGCTGCTGAGTTTTCGCTGTGCTTTTTCGTATGCAAATTCATTTATTCATATCGCTTTTGTCGCTGATTTTCTTCAACAGTTGCTGCTGCCGCCGCAGCCGCCTCTGCTGCTGCTGGTGCTGCTGCTGCTGCTGCTGTCACTCTTCTTCTCTTTTCTGTCGCTTTTGTTTTTTAATCGGAAATGCAAGAGGAAACGGATTGCTACTCAAATATGGCGAAAATGCCAAAGTCCCGAACGGGTGCATCTAATATTTGCACAACAATTTACGCACTTCAAAACCCAATTACGGTTTGTTTTTTTATGTTCTCCGTTATTCTTTTAGCTTTTAGGCATTGGTATTGGTGTAAGCGAAAGCGCGACGGCGACGTGCTCTTTTGTTTTTATTTATCATATACATACATATGTATATTTGTTTGTTATTGTGACCCGCTCAAGCTGGCGACGCTGAGTGAAGTGGCGAATCCTGCAAGTGGCAGGCGCAGTCCTGTTTTCATTTTCATGCCAACACATACAGGCACAAAGCTGCGTGTGTATGTGGGTTAAAGGCCAATTTAATTGCCCAGCAAATGCCTCATTGTGCCAGTTGGACGAGAACAAAGGGCAGAGGGAAAATCAATAGACTATTATATCTGGGCGCCTCGTTAGCAATGATGGTGTGTTAACGTCTTTATTTGACATACACACATACATATATGTATGTACATGTATGACTGTCATATATATTGCATATGTGCATGCATAATGCAAAAAGAACGTGCCATGCCTTGGACTTTAAACTGGGTCAAGGTCAAAAGGACGATTCAATCTAGGACATTGCGTTGTTCTACATTCAATGCTAGCCTACTTTATTGATACAACTGTTGCGTCTGTTGCCTTTCATTACATATTTTAATTAGTCAAAGGAAACTATTGTGCAGCAAGGATCAAGTTTTGTTGAGTTTTTACCCTAATTTTAATTTTGCTTACAAAGATTTTATATGAATATTATTAAAAAAGGCTTCCTCACATAAGCTAGCACTCCTTGCAAAAAATTTAAAAATATGATTATGTAAATTACGATCTGAAAACAATGGAAGCCAACATATCGATAATTTTTGCTGCACTTATACGTAATGTATGCACAGACACACATGCACGCACATACACAAAGCAACCACATCACACACACACACACAGGCCGTATGTAGATATGGGTGGAAAAAGTCGCCTTCTAATTGCTTTCTGCAGGCTTTCATAGAACGCCCACTCGACTAAATTCACCTTTGCATGTTTGTGCATACATAAATACATTTCCACATAGACAAGTACATATGTAAGTACATACATACATGTACATAAGTTCGTACAATAATATGCCAAGTAGAAACTTTGTGCGCTCTGGCAGCCACATTAACGTACATACATACGTATACGTACACAGACATTGCGTGTGCTTGTATGCGTACACACATACATATGTATGTATGTAAGCGCTGAAGGCAATACAAATTGGAAAACGCAATGGCCGACAAACGCCACGCAGCTATCAGCCATGTATCTCAAGGTAAAGCAGAAGCGACAATATACGAATATCAATGTGCAGGCATAATGCACAACAATAAACGGATGAAAAATAAAAAGAAAACTTCCGGCAAAGCTCAAGCTGAACGCGAAATGGTGAAAAACACACACACACATATACAATATTCGCCCAGACTAAGAGAAACCAAACCCATATTCATGCATACATTTGGAAACCCACGTGAATCAGAGAGCGAGAATCATCAAGAACAGAGGAGAGATGGCGCGAGAGAGAGAGATAGAGAGGAAGAGAGAGTGAGCAATGTGATCGCGATTGTGAGATGTTTGCGGCGAATTCGGAGAGTTTTCATAAGTATTGTTGCTGGTTAATTTTCTTTAGTTTCGCCATGAGAAAAGCCAAATGTCTTTGTATTTTGTATATACACAAACACAAACATACATTTTACATTCATATAAGCATTTACAAATGTGTATGTACATAAGCATGTGTACGAACTGTTTTCGGCTGACTTGCTGTTTATTGCTCCGTTTCTCTCTTCTTCTGTTTGTCCGACATGGCAGCGTCATTTATACGCCATATTGGATTGTCTCATAGCGCCATTGGCACTTTTCTTTTACTTTTTTAGGATCTTTAGCGCTAGCTTTGGATGCATTGCCAGCTGTCATCCAATAGTTCAGTATGCGTACTTTATGTTTTAAGGCAGAAATGGGGTATTAAAGGCAATTCGGTGTGCATAAATTGGCATGAAAAATATTGGCCATTTAACAGCATTAGTTTGCACAGCTGAGCGTTGCCAGAAGGGTGAATGGCAGCACTGGCAACACCATCAGCTGTTGCCTAACACACACAACTGGCAGCTCTGTGCAGGAACAGGGCTGGCTCAACGCCGGCAAACAAAATATATTAGAAAACAATAAATGAAATTAAATATGTTACCCAAAGGGCTTTTGTTGTTGTTTATTATTATTTATAGCTGCGCCGCTGAGCATGTAAGTACGGCAGAGAGAGAGAGAAAGAGAGTGAGTGTGAACCCTCAGTGTATAATTGCCCTTTAGGAGACTTCAATGCTGCCGGAGGCTTATGTGGACGCCGCCCAGCGCTCAACGCACACGAACAACTGGGCGGTGCTGGTGGATGCGTCCCGCTTCTGGTTCAACTATCGTCATGTAGCCAATGTGCTGTCCATTTATCGGTCCGTCAAGCGTCTCGGCATACCCGACTCACAAATCATTTTAATGATCGCCGACGATATGGCCTGCAATGCGCGCAATCCTCGGCCGGGCCAGGTGTACAACAATGCAAACCAGCATATCAATGTGTATGGCGATGATGTTGAGGTCGATTATCGCGGCTATGAGGTAACCGTGGAGAACTTTGTGCGTCTGCTGACGGGACGAACACAAAATGGCACCGCACGCTCCAAGAAGCTGCTCTCCGATGCGGGCAGCAATGTGCTCATCTATTTGACTGGCCACGGTGGCGACGGATTTCTCAAGTTCCAGGACTCCGAGGAGATAACCAGCCAGGAACTGGCCGATGGCATACAGCAAATGTGGGAAAAGAAACGGTTTGTGTATTGAATTATAAGCCCTCGTATGTGTCACTTAACTGCTCCTTTTGCTTATGTTTTTTCAGTTACAACGAGCTCTTCTTCATGGTAGACACTTGCCAGGCGGCGTCGCTCTACGAGAAATTTACATCGCCCAATGTCCTGGCCGTGGCCAGCAGCCTGGTCGGCGAGGATTCGCTATCGGTGGGTATTCTAAATGATTTGCCCCCTGCTGTTTCATTTAGCTCTCATTTTGCAGCATCATGTGGATCCCTCGATCGGCGTCTATATGATCGATCGCTATACCTACTATGCGCTCGAGTTTCTGGAGAAGGTGCAGCCGTTTAGCAAGCGGACAATTGGTGAATTTGTAAGCCATTACCCCCACGACAAGAAGGGTGCTTGATAATTTACTCCATACTCTTTGCAGCTGCAAGTGTGCCCGAAGCGCGTATGCATCTCGACAGTGGGCGTGCGCAAGGATTTATATAGACGCGATCCGCACAAGGTGCCCATTACGGATTTCTTTGGCGCCATACGTCCCACGCGCGTTTCCACGGATCGCATCAATGTAACGCTGGCCAATGAAGAGTATGTTCTGCCAGATATATACATATATATACATATATCTTAAAATATATCAATAACAATCGAATTGATCAATTCAAACACTTCACAGAGACTTTGTCAACGAGGTGGCCCAGTCAGGACCAAGGAAACAGTTCAAGATCATTTTGGAGCCGCAGTTTACAGCTGAATTAATAAAGTAACAACAGGTCCCAGCACTTTGTTCAGCTTGGGTAAGATCTGGATAGTTGGCAGCAAGCAACAAATTAAATGAGTTCAAAATGTACACATTTCATGTGATAATATTAACTTTATTCGTAAATACATTTCATTTCATTAATTTATATTATTATTATTAATACAATGTGTAATTTATTAAATTTATGTCTGTGTGTGTGTGTGGGTTTGCTTGTGTGTTTATGTGTGTGTGTGTGAACTCGAATCGTGCTTTAAAATACTCGAATTCTTGGGCTTAGTTCGTTTCATCGATTTTCTTTATTTTAAATATTTTGCTAACATTTCATTTGTATTTATGCCCATGTTCATTGTAATTACGTCAATGTTAAATTATATTTATTGTGTTTGTTTTTTTGTTTTTCTTTTTTTCCTTTTATACCGCAAACACTCACTAATCCATCAAGTAACATTTATATCAAATTCCAAAAATAAACAAAAACCATATGTATATATGCTAAGTGTGTTTGTGTGTGTATGCGTGTCTGTGTGTGTGTGTGTGTGTGTCTGTGTGTTTGTGGGAGTGTGTGTTTATATACTTATATAAAACGTATGAGCCAGTCCTATTCCGGACGAACACTCGTACCGCAAGTGGAATCCATGCGAATTTCCACCACAAAAAAAAAAAACATTTTATTTAATTTCTATTTTGTTTTTCTTTCTTCCTGGGGTATACACAAAAAAATTGTTTTTTTTTTTTTGGTTTTAAGAGTAACAATGGCTTTTTTCTAGCTCTGTTAGTTGCCCGAAGCGTTTCGGACAGCACAGGACGACATTTACTCCATTTCCATTTATTTATTTTCAATGTATGGAAGGATCTACCTTTTTTTTGTTTTTTGTTTTTTTTTTTCGTTTTTGCTTGCTTTCTTAAGTTGAAAAAATGCCAGATAATATCGACTATACATATATATATGTGTTTTGCATTAGCTTTTTATTGCATCAGTCCCATTTGTTTTGAGTTGTATCGCTATCGATTATGTTTTAGGGGGTGTTTGTTATGTTGTTGTTGTTGTTGTTGTTGTTGTTGTTCTCAAGATCGAGTTAAGCACCATAAAAAGTATTTACTCCCCGTCCAGCTGGCATACACATAACGCACGCTCTATTTCCGATTACTTTACTATAACATATATGCAAGCGGCCTTCATTTTGTTTAAATATATATTTTTGAATATCTTTCTTTTTTGAGCATATTTGAAACAGTTTGCGTTTCAATTGTTCTGTATCGAGTATTCTATATATCGTGTTTAGCGGGTGCTGCCTGTGGTCTGAGTGAGTACTACTTAGGATCGTCTACGTTTGTGTGTGTGTGTGTGTGTGTGTGCGTGTGTGTGGGTTGTGGATTAACTCTTTTAAATGTGTTATTAAAAATTAGCTAACTAATCGTTAGGATGCCAGGGGTTTCTATTTGTTAGCATTCATTTTTGTGGGTGCACTCAGGGAACAGATCTAACAATATATCTAATGCGTGTGTTTCATGCTCCTTACTCGTCGCTCGTCACTCGTCACTCGTTACTCGTCACTCGTTACTTTTTACTCGTTATTTACAAAGACATAAGAGCAAACCGAAGAATTATACTCGCTAGTCTACAAATGGTCTGGCTTAATTGGAGGGGCTTTTTGTGTGTTTGGGAACTTTAGTTTTGGTTGTTGCTTGGTTGCCATCTCGCCTATGGTATATGGTATATGGTATCTATATGCATATATACGTATGCCATATATGGTATTAACTGTTTAAAGGGGCCACTAAGCTACTATCTGAGTGGGGTACTCGGGTATTTCTAGCTCAAATGCATTGCAATGCAGTTATGATTTATGGCCTAACACTTATTTGATAACACGCAGTGCAAAAATATGGTATCATCATCATCATCATCGACATCATAATCATCCTTAACTTTCATCATTGTGTGTTCTACTTCTTATTCTTTTTTTTTTTTTGGTTTTTCTCTTACACGCAGTATGTATTTGGGTTTTTCTTCATTTTCTGATGCTTTACAAAAGCTTACTCTTCTATGTTTTCTATCGTTTTTGCTGTATTCATTATTCATATTCGTATTCATATATATATTTGTTTTATGCTCTTAATACATACAATACATATACATTTATGTACTCCTTTATGTATTTGCTGCTGCGTACTATATTTAATATTGTTTTTTTCTTTTTTTTTTGGTTTGTTTCTTATTTATGTTAAAATCCAAAACCAAAAAAAAAAAAAAAATTAAAAGAAAAACTTTCTGCTACGGAAAATCTCATTGTGAAAACAACTCTTGAAGGCAATTTCATGTCAGACTCTTGCTTTAAACGTCATTTTTCATTTCTTATTTTTATTCGCATTTTCTTTACCTCTTATTTGGTGTATCTGGTTGTGTGTGTGTGTGTGTTTGTGTGTGTTTGTGTGTGTGTGCGAGCGAGAGAGCGCGTCTGCTTGGGTTTGTGTAAGGCGCTAGGAATTGAAAATTCTTTCTTAAATGCGGCTCCTGGGTCAAAGCAAGGCCAGTTTTTTCTTGTATCTTTGCTATCTATTATACTACATTTATTTCCGTTATTTTTTTACAGGGTATACGCTGCTCGATGGACGCTTGGAACAAAACAAAAAACAATAAATAAAGTGTCCTCTTAAGGTTTTGCATCCAATTCGACTGTCTTGTAAATTCGAAGCTTTCTGCATGAGAATTTTTCTTATATGTTGATTTTATCATTTATCATTCAATTGCCATAAAAGAATTATTCCAATGTTTTTAAGGATTATTCCAATCGAAAGATGTTTGCTCACACAGATCTCAGGATAATCAAAGTTCGCCTAGTCGGTTAGATAAGTATTCCTCCAATTTCGATGCAAAAGTCTTTTGGATTTTTTTGTGCAGACGCCTCTTCTGTCGGGCCCCCCAAAAGTATGCTACACTTTACGAAGTGCGGACAAATCTTAAGACTCTGCAAGGACGATTTTAATGCTATATTTTCTTCTACTCAAAACCAATTGCAGTTGCTCGAAAACAGAAGCTTGGAGTTTTTGGGCTTGTGGAGGGTGTGTGTGGGCGTAGGCGTTTGGGCACAACAACAGAAAGAGATATAAATAAAAACTGAAAATGATTTAAGAATTACATTTATTAAAAATGTTGTTAAAAAAAATGTATACAGACAGCAAAAAAATCAACAAAATTAATACATTTACAATAAACGATAGTGCGACATCGATATCGATAACAAACGGCATCGATAGCAGCCCAATTTCAGGCGATTTTCTTTTTTTTGTGGTTTTATTTGTTTTCTTAGTTGTTTGTTTCTTGCATTTTTTTTTCTTTTTGGGTTACGACGACGACGCGATCGCGAGCCATATAATATTTATATATATATAAAAAAAAAATCATAGTATATATATGTATATATATAGATATACATATACATATATGTATAGTAAATTGTATGTACTAGGCGATAATTATGTTTAGTATGCATATGTATATATATGGGTATATATACATACAATAATAATAATTAATAAAAAAAAAATAATCATAAATGAATAATTAGAATTAGTTTTCCTTTTTTTTCTTTAAGTGTACAATACATACATACAAACATACAAAAATAAAAAAAAAAATAATAATAATAATAATAATAAACAGTTGTATAACTTTGTATGCACACATTTTTGCTTGCTTTCTGTTTTAATATTAGAGTAGGATTAGCTTAGGCTTAGATGTATGGGTGTGTGTGTGTGTGTGTGTGTGTGTGTGTGTGGGTGTGTGTGTTGTGTGTGTATGTATGTGTGTGCAAGTGTTTGCTTGTTGTTGTACACAATCCTCCATTATCAGAGATGCTCGCCTTATGCTGACACACAAAAATGTATGTGTATGTGTGTGTGTGTTTGTGTTGATTAAACTAACATTACATAATATGCCATTTGAATAATTTAAAGTAGAAGTTTGCTCTCGATTTTGCTGTGTTATCGTGTTATCGATAAACTTAGCGAAGCGCGCCAACCGCAACCACCCGCCCCTTCCCGCACAACCTATCAGCCCGTTACACGCAGCGCAGCCCGTGTGTGTGTGTGTGTAAGTGTGTGAGCGTGTGTGAGTGTGTGAATTTCTCTACAAAAAGTACTTAAAACGAACGACAATAAAAACTAGCTAAATACGACTATAATTCCTATATATATATAATAGATGTATGCATGTATGTATATATATATATATATATATATATATATACTTTATGTGGTTGATTTTCTTTGCCTTGCGTTATATGTATATATCTATTCAGATCTGTGTGTGTATATATTATATATTAATATATATCTATATATAATTTTTTGTGTATATATATTTATATATATAAAAAAAAAACAATGCATTCTTATAGCTGTATATATGAATGAGAGTGTGTAAGTGTGTGTGTGTGTGTATGTGTGTGTCTAGGTGTATGTGTGTGTGTGGCTATAGTCAACTACAACTCATTAGCTCAAATCTGAACTGATCTTAAATCAACTTTATATGGATACATGTTAACACTTAACTTAGATTTTTCTGCTTTTTCTTTTTTTTTGTATTTTGCAATTTTTGCTCCTTAAAATTTTGCACAAAAAAAAAATTGTATATTTACGTGTGTGTGTGTGTTAAAATAATGTATGTATATAGTAATAGCATAATTTATTTAGTTAAAAAAGTCAACACACACATTCGTAATGCCGTTAAGCCACAGAATCCAGTTCTAAAATCGAACGAACGAGAAAAAAAAAACAAAAAAAAAAAAATCAAGCCGGACCAAACCAAACTGTTGCATACCATTTCGTTTCGTTTCATTTCCATTCCATTTCGTTCCGTTGCGCGCAGTCTGCAGTCTTGTGCTCGTCCTGGTCAGTCTGTGCTTGGGTTGGGCGTGGGTGGAGTTTACGGGCTTATTACACGGAAAACACGCCCGTTCCGTAATGCCGGTAGCCGAAAAGAAAACGTTTCATTCCATTTCGTTTCAGTCCGCTATATTCATTACAGTCTTGTGTTGAGTGTGTTGGGTCCATTCCGTTCCCTTCGTTCACGTTCCGTTTTGTTGACAGTCTTGTGTTCTGCGTGTAAGGATATTCATATTTAGCTTGCCTTTCATTTTCCGTTTCGTTCCGTTCCATTTCATTTCGTTTCAGTTGTCAGTCCGCAGTCTTCTGAGTACGTTAGGCTTGGGTTAATGCATTTGGATTTGGATTGTTCGCTTGGTTCGTGATATACGTAATTTTTAGAACGGGCTTGTGCTTTTCATTTACTTCATTTTTTTTTTCTTTCTTTTTTGTGTGCTTTTAGGTTAGGTTAGGATTTGGCTTATAAGATCTCCAACAATTGGGGGAGGGCGAAAACTAAAATACATGAAAATACAATATGCTCTACATTATGTATGTAGTAATAATAATGATAATAATAATAATAATCGATAATTGGTAATCGGTAATTGGTAATTGGTAATTGGTAATCGGTAATCGATAATAAAAAACATGCTTTAAGTGTACTATTCTAAAATAATTCAGTCATCAGGTAACATTGTTTTGAACACAACTACAGTAACAGAAGCTGAGGTCGCGGGCGTGCGCGTAGGTGGGCGCATGGGCGTGGCAGCGGCGGCATTATAATTATTATTATTATAATTATGATTATTATTATTAATATTATTGTTGTTGTTGTTGTGTGGTGCTGTGGATGATGTTGCATGTGGTGTTTGTTGTTGTTGTTGTTTTTGTTGTTGTGGTTGTTGTTGTTGCGATTGTGTTTGTGTTTGTGTCGTCGTCGTCGTCGTCGACACGGCAGTCCATTGTTGCATTGTTGCTGGGCGCATTGCTAATAACGTGGGCGTGCCAACAGACAGCAACAGCTCATCGGTTTGTGTGTGTATTGTGGCTGTGCTGGCAACAGTTGCTTGCTGATGGCAACAGCTGCCGTTGGGCAGCGATGTTGCTGTTGCTGCTGTTGCTGTTGCTGTTGTTGCTGCTGCTGACAATTGGTATTTGAAATTAACTGCGTGCATTGCTCACAAATATTCTTGCTTACCATTTGCCGCTTGACTTGAACTGTTGCTGTCGAGACAGTTGCTGTTGCCGTTACGTTGTCGCAGCATCGGTTTGGCAGTGATTGTTATTGCGCCTGGGCCTGTGGCAGTGTTGCTGTTCAAATTGATAATTCTGCGGGGCACTTTTATCTGATGTTGTTGCTGCTGCTGCTGTTGTTGTTGCTGCTGCAATGCTAGCAACTGTTGCTGCTGCTGCTGTTGTGCAGTGGCTATTTCACTTAGGCTGGCCAATGTCAACGCCGTTTTGAGCACATGCGCTGGCGGCGGTGTTGTTGCTGCGTTTGTTATTGTCGTTGTTGTTCTCGTTGTTGCGCCAGCACTCGTTGATGTTGCTGCTGCTGTTGCGGCAGCTGTTGCTGTTGGTTTGTTAGCAGCTGCTGCCATTGGACGTTGTGACATTAAGGCCGTTTGAAGAATTGATGTATACTGTTGCTGTTGCTGTTGTTGTTGTTGTTGCTGATGTTGATGTTCAAGTCTTTTGCTCTCTTCTAAGCTGTTGCTGCTGCTGCTTGTTGCCACCCTGCCAGCTACAGTGGCAGTATTGCAGCAGCTGCTGTTGTTGCTGCAGCTGCTGCTGTTGTTGTTGTTGTTGCTGCCTGCCTCGATGGCCACTGCTGCTGAGCTGCGCGCTATTTGATCGGCGGCTGCTGTCAGCGTGGCCAATGTGGCCGCAGCTCCACTCAGCAGCGACGACTTCAGTATGGACGAGGAGGCATTGCTGTTGGCGCTGGGCTCGGCGGTTGCTGTTGCTGTCAGCGGCAACGGCAGCAATAGAGACGATTGCTGTTGCTCAGCTTCGCCAATTTCGATTTTGATCTTGGGCAGATCCAGCAGCCAATCAACCTGCGCCTGCGCCTGCAATTGCTGCTGTTGCTGTTGTTGTGGCCGGGAGCTGCGGCGTGTTGCTGTTGTCAGAAGTTGGTCGTGTTGCTGCTGGCGCTTCGGCGGCGCCGGCTGATGATTGCTGGCGGGCAGCAGGCCATGCTCAAGCATTTGCTACCTTATGCTCGCCGAGTTGAGCACAAAGGGCACATAAAACATCTTGCTTTCCAGCAACAGACTGGCCGCCGCTTGTATCTGGAGCGGGAGCAGGAGCGGGAGCAGGAGAGGATTAGTTCAGATCGGCTTGGATGAAGCTTTGTCGGACTTACCTCGGGTATGTGGGAGAGCAGCTCGCTGAGCCGGGCCTGCGGATTCTGTGGCGACGAGCTCTGCAAATAAGAGCGCAGCACCTGAATGTAACGCTCCTGTATGCTCTCCAGTTCCACTTCTGCTAAGGGTCACAAGGAGATCAACATGAGTTGGGGACAATTGGCTTGAATGCGGACGTACCTTTGTTCAGCAGTATGTAGACCTTGAGGCAGACGTACTCCTCCATCTTGAGCTTGATGCGCCGGAACATGATCGTGATCTGTGTCATCTTGTCCACCATGTGGCCCACATCCAGCTTGAGCTGCTCCATGGCAATCGGCTGGCCCATCAGCGTGGTAAGGCAGGTCTGGAGCGTGCTCAGATGCGAGTTGACCTCGCTAACGAATTCGGGATCATCCTTGTGCAGCGGCATCGGCAATTGGCTGGCCGTTGGCGTTGATGTTGGCGCTGGGGAGCCGCCGTGCCTGTTGCTGCCGTGATTGTTGCTGGGACTGCTGGCGCTGCCAGTGCCAGTGCCAGTGCCAGTTGCCGCGCTCGAGGATCGTTTGCCGTGCAGCGCCTGGTAGGCGGCCGTGGTCAGGATGAGTATCTCGTGCCATTTGTCCGTGAGCAGCTTTGTGTGTATCTCGACGGGTATTTCCAAGTAGAAGGGCAGCTTCTTTGTCCACGACACCAGTTTGTGGACAATAGAGTCGCCAATATTGCACAGCTTCTCGCTGATCTCGGACTTGTCCTCGAGGAACTCGCTGAAGTGCGGCAGCGTGGCAATATCCTCCATGGCATCGCAGTCGATCAGCGTCTGGATCATGGACAGCGCATGCTCGTACGAGATCTGCCTGTCCTTCGACGAGCTGACCGCCGAGTCCAGACGATGGCGCAGATGCACAATCTCGCTGGGATTGGTCAGCGCCGTCTTCAATATGGTGCCATTCATCAGATGCGCTGGCAGCGACGCCTGCTGCTGTTGCTGTTGCTGCTGTTGCTGCTGCTGCTGTTGCTGCTGTTGCTGGTGATGATTGTGGTGCTGTTGCTGCTGTGCCGCATTCGGCGGTGGCGGCGGCACGTGATGCGGGGAAGATAGCGACAGATGCGGCGACGATTGTTGCTGCTGCTGTTGTTGCTGTTGCTGTTGCTGCTGATGTTGCTGCTGTGCCGGACTGTGCATGGGCGGCGGCTGCAAGTGCTCCGACTTGAGCACCGGACCCAGGAACATGGGCTTTAGCTCACCAGCGGCCGCATGACCAGCGGCCAGCAGCTTCGATTGCTGATGTTGATGCTGTGCAGCGGCTGCAACAGCTGCCGCCAACTGTTGCTGCTGCGGCGAGAGCAAATGATGCGGCGACAATTGCGCCGGATGACCATGTCCGCCGCCAGCCACATGATGATGATGTATGGGCGACAGCAACTGTTGCTGCTGCTGCTGCTGTTGCTGTTGTTGCTGCTGCTGATGTTGCTGTTGCTGCTGTTGCTGCTGCTGCTGCTGTTGCTGCTGTTGCTGTTGTTGCTTCTGATTGGTCTTCTTGTGCTTCTTGTACTTCACCTTGTACAGATTGTAGACGGCGCCGCTGTTGCGTCCACCCGGCATGCGATCCTCCCGCACGGCTAGCAGGGATCACAAACAAACAAAATAAATACTAGATTAGTTTTGGCCACACTGACAGACAAAAGTAGGCGCACGCCCCGGAATGTGTTTGTGTGTGTGATAATTGTTGGCTTCGTCTACTGACCTTGCAGCACCATGCCCTGCTCGATGCACTTCTTAAATCGACAATACTGACAACGGTTGCGCTGTGCTTTGGTTATTTCGCAGGTGCCGTCCGCGACGCAGGTGTAGACTCTGCGGTTCTGCACCGTGCGCTTGAAGAAGCCCTTGCAGCTGCAGGCGAGAAGAGCGTTTAGTTTTTGGCTGAAATTGGAGATTTGTGGCGACACTTACCCCTCGCAGGTGATGATGCCGTAGTGCAGGCCGGTGGCCTTGTCCTCGCATATCATGCAGACCAGCGGCTGGTCGTCCTCGTCGGTGGGCTCGTGCGGCGCCTCGAGTGAGCGACCGCTGCCGCTGCCGGAGCTGGAATTCGAGCTGCCCCATTGCTGCTGTGCGCTCAGATTGAGCGCCTGCAGCTGGCCCGGCGGCAGCTGCGAGTAATCGCCAGCCCACAGGCGTTCCATGTTGAGTGCGTGCGGCGTTCGGAATTGATGCGGACGCGGACGCATATCCTGGATGCGCGTCTGGCCCAGCGACAGCAGCAGCTGTGCCGCCTCCTCGTTGTTCTGCGGCCCAGGCGTATGCGTCGGCGTTATTGATCCGGTCGACGGCGAGGAGGCGGTTTGCAGGCAATGCTGCTGCTGCTGTTGCTGCTGTTGTTGCTGCTGCTGTTGCTGCTGCTGCTGCTGCTGCTGGTGTTGCTGATGTTGCTGTTGATGTTGCTGTTGATGTTGCTGTTGATGCTGCTGCTGCTGGTGTTGCTGCTGTTGCTGATGTTGCTGCTGCTGCTGCTGGCCGGGCGTTGGCGGCGGCGGCTCGTAGCCCCAGACCATGGTGCGCACGCCGCAGCTCTCGCCCATGATGACAGTGGGCGTGCCGCGTGGCGGCGTCTGCGAGGGCGTCTGCGGCGACAGCTGCGACGACGAGGACGAGGACGACGGATGCGGCGAGGGGCAGAGCGGGCCGCCAATTACCTCCGGCTTGACGCCATTGATGCGCGCATTGCTGAAGCAGACCATGCGCTGTGCGGCCGCCGCCGCAGCTGCCGCTGCCGCTGCTGACGTCGGCTGCATGAGATGCGGCAGGCCCGAGGAGGCGGCGGCAGCGGCGGCCACCGCCACCTGTTGCTGCACCTCGCTCTTCACGCGAAACAAAATGGCCGCATCGCGGCTCGGATGACGCAGCGATTGCAGCGAAGCCGAGTGCAGCAGCGACTGTTGCTGCTGCTGCTGCTGTTGCTGTTGGTGTTGCTGATGTTGCTGCTGATGTTGCTGCTGGTGATGCGGCGACAGATGCCGCTGTACCTGAACAGAACCAACGGATGAGGTTGGCTCCTTCTTGACGCGTATCAGTGCATGCGGCGAATGTTGCTGCAAATGTTGCGGCGATTGTTGCTGCTGCTGCTGCTGACCAAGGAGATGCAGGTGCAGCTGTTGCTGGGTCAGCTGCTGCATGGACTGCATCGAGAGCTGCGGCAGCTGTAGCTCTTGCGGCGGACTATTCTTGCGCAGTGTCAGCGGCTGCGTCAGCTGCTGGTGCAGATGATGCGTTTGGACAATGGAGGCGGGTGTCAAGCTGCCATGTCCATGGCTCGACAAATGGCCGTGCGGATGGCCATAGGCATGCCCATGATGCTGGCCCGGATGCGGACCTGGACTGCCGCGACTTATGTGCTGCGAAGAGCTGATGGAGCTGGAGCTGCCCAATTCCCGTTCTCTTTCTCTTTCTCTGTCCCGCTCTCTGTCCCGCTCCCTGTCCCGCTCCCTGTCGCGTTGTGTGGTCGAGGAGGGCGAGGCGGGTGGCGGTGGTTCCGCTTTAATGCGCGACGGCGTCACCAGCACGGTCACATGACCCGGAGCCGCCTTCAAGTCGCGCTCCCTTTCACGCTCCCGTTCCCTTTCCCGTTCCCTTTCCCGTTCTCGTTCCCGTTCTCGTTCCCGCTCTCTTTGCTCCCGTTCGCGCTGCTGCTGCTGCTGTTGCTGCTGCTGCTGCTGATGGTAGGCAAGCATTTTGGTGGGCGAGGCCAGGATGCGCTCCTCCTTGACGGAGCGTATGACGCTCAGGTTGCTGTTGTTGCTATTGATCTTGTTGCTGCCGCTGCCGTTGCCGCTGCTGCTGCTGGCCAACAGCCCATTGGTGGGCGTGCCGCTGCTGCGACCCGTTGTCGTTGAGGGCTTCTCCTCGAGCGAGTCGGGCGAGGCCAGACGACTGCTGCTGTTGCTCGAGCTGGACGCGCCGCCATTATTGTGCGGCGGTGTGGGCGTGCCGCGCGCATTCAATGCCAGCGAGAGTGCCTCCCCGCCGCAGCCCCCATTGCCACCGCCGCCGCCGCCAGTGTCCAGCATGGCGCTGGGCGGCGTGCCGGCTGGCGGCGGCGGCGACATCACTGTGGAGGCAGCTGCCGCTGTTATCGCACTGCTGGATGAGTGTATTTCAGTCTGTTGATGCTTCAGGGACCCGCCAGCCGATCCTGTGCCTGTTGTTGTTGCTGCTGCTGCTGCTGCAGCTGCTGCCGCTTTGGCAGCTGCTGTCGCGGTTATGGTAATCGTGCTGCTCGGACATGTTGCCGCCGACGTGGATGATGTTGCTGCCGCCGCCGCTGCTGCTGCTGATGCTGCTGTTGCTGATGATGTTGTTGTTGATGTGGAGACGGCAGCTGCTGCTGCCGCCGATGTGGATGCCGCTGTTGTCACCGTTACCGTCACCGATGGCAGCGCCGGCAACGCTGACAACGACGCACCTGTGCCGCTGTCGCATAGCTTGGGTGACATCGGCGCCAATAGATCCGGCGACGAGGTGGATGTGTCCGCTATGGACTCGCCGTCACTGCTGCATCTTGAATCGATTTTGCGCCGCTTGAGTTTGAGGTCTTGAAAAAGGCTCATTTTATCGAGCTCGCTGTACGGGCCACGGCTCAGTGTCATAATTCCTGCGGCAGAGAGGGAGAGAGAGAAAGAGGGAGAGAGAGAGAGAGAGAGAGAGTGGGGCATAAGAGATTGCGAATATATGCTTCACATTAAGGAACTCTACTCCATATAACAAGAGATACTATTTACAGCTTAATACTAGAAATTCTTAAAGGAGAAAAGAAAACAAACACGAGGCTTCGAGCTCGCATTCAAAAAACTGTTTTATTAGAATCCATAACTCAAACTGGGCAACAAATTTATGTTCCAGCTTCTCATAGGCCAGGAGCACGAGCATCCCTTCCAGACCCGAAACGCATCTTAAGATCTTAAAATCAAACAAATGTTTACTTAATAGGCTACATTTTCAACAGATCGTTTCTATGGGAAGCCTTAGCTATATATTGAATATGTGAAGCATAAACTTTTTTCTACCCATTAAAATTTGCTATAAAGGGTATACTCTTTTTGAGCAAATGTATGTAACGTGCGAAGGAAGCTACTCTGAACTCACAGAATACATATCTATATCTATTATAAGTATATATGTTCATGTACGTCCGTCTGCGTGTTCGTCCTTCTGTCCGTCTGCTTGATCTCGGAAATTACAAGAGCTAGAGACTTGAAATTTGCAATTTATATTCTTGCATATCCTGTCCAGAAAGATTTTCATCAATTTTTCGATAGCTTTTCCCTTTGTTAAAATGTCGATAAATATCAATTTGAGGACATGGTTATTTAAGCAAATCTCGAAGAATATAGCAGCTAGCTAGACCAAACTTGGTGTCTAGCATCTCGTTAAGTATATTCACATTCGCATTCAAAACATTTCAGTTTTTGGATAACTTTGCCCATTTAGCTTAAGCTTGATATAACACCTGAGAAATTCACCAAGAATGCCTTTAACGTACATAGAGCGGGACAGAGTGAGAAGAGTGAGAAGAAGGAAACCGGAGTGTTTGTAAAAGCAGTTTGGCACTGATTACAGGGTATCTCCTAGTCTTGAAAGTGAGCACAGCATACCCTATACTGTTTTTGTGCAAATGTATGTACGAAACAGAGGGAAGCATCTTTGACCCCATAAAATATATATAATATAATAATATATCCTACTTTCCGTCCATCCCTCTTTTCGTTCGTCCGTCTTTCCGTCCGTCTTTCTATCCGTATGTCCATTCCTTGGGTAGAAGAAGGCTCAGGGTATCGCCTAGTCGGGCACTCTTACTTCTTTTTACATTGATCTATTTTGAACTCTTCCAACTGAGTTAGTTGAGTCTGTCTTAAGATCTGGCTCTCTTGAAGAACTGAGCAGTTCCAAGCTAAAATATTCTTGTATTCTTGTTCTGCTTGTCTGAGAGATGTTGATGCTACGTTTCCCATGGCCATGACTTTGTCTCAAGCTGAAATCGTTTCGCATGGGTGTTAACTTGTCAAACTTGATTTGGCGTTTTAGAATTTCAAATTTTCATTTAAATTGGTTTTGTCAATACCCTGCTTTCAAGAAGGGCATATCGGCTGTCTCTGGCTGGGCTCCATCCGAATTTTCAAGCAACATTCTGGGAACTGGAGCATTTGATCTAAAACTCAGGTTTTGTTTTAAGTTCAGGTTTGACCTATGAAAGAATTCAGTTTTTTATTTATAATAGCAACTACCAAATATGTTTAGCTAAGACTTTCGCAAAGATATTTTATTTTAAATCAAAGCAAATGTGTTTCAGCTCGGCTTTCAGTTTAGCTACTTTTTGGGCAACATATGCGTTTAAGGGCTAGGTTTAATGTTCAAAATAATTATTATTAATTTCGGACTCGAATCAATTGGCAGCCTGGCTGATAATATTACAGTATCTCAATATTGTCTTTCTTAAACTCCACTTGCTTGGGCTGACTAATTAAATAAATCTCGAAGTTTCGAGCTAAAAAACATTAGTAGTTGATACTTCACAGAAGTACAGTAGACACTCACGAATTGCGCCGCTTCGGCTTAAGAGTTGATTGTATTCGAAGGAAAGACGACTTTCTGGTTTTTACCAAACATGCATTTAAGATAGGCAGATAAGAAAAGATTACTGGAAGATTCGAAATCCAAGAATGCAGCTGGATAGAATCTTTTCACATGGAATGTGGCTATAGAGTGCTATCTAATAATATCAGATATATGTAGTAGATGTAAAGTATATTATAATAGTAGATAATATATATTATAAGAGCACCATACATATATAAGAGTATCAGCTGCAACGAATTGTTATAATCGCCAAGGATTTTATGAGAAATGAAACTAGTTTTCTCAAAAAAGTTGGTGAAATTTCCAGAATATATCGATAGAAAGCAGCTGAGTTACACGAATTGGATATATATATTTTATATATCTAGGAAAATATCGATAGATATTGCATTTATCGATTCATAAGCACCGATTGGGCTATGCGACTTTGACATACATTTGTTAAAAGTACTCCTAGACAGTTATCGATAGTTAATGGATTTATCGATTCCATTGGGTTTTGGGACTTGGACATGCATAACAAGTACCCTTAAGAAAATATCGATAGATACTGCGCTTTTCGAATTGTAAGCACCCATTGGGTAATACGATTTTGGTATATATCTGCTCCTAATCAGTTATCGATAGCTAATGCATTTATCGATTTGATTGGGTAATACGACTTTGACATATATCTTTAAAAAGTAGCCTTAGCCAAATATCGGTAGCTTATGCATTTATCGAATCGATTGAGTTACACAGTTATCGATAGCCAAAGCATTTATCGATTCGTCAGCACCGATAAGTGGCTCGTCTAAGAGCTAAAGCCTCATCTTTTGCATGTGCTCTACGAGTCTATTCGCCGCTATTATGCCGCTCAAGCAGGTGAATCACCGCTGTCTTTGGCATGCATAAAATCATATGTCAGCTAAAGTAGGTTTTTTTTTTGGTTTGTTTTTGTTTTTTTTTTCGTATTTTTTTTTAACGCGACGAATCGGATTTTGCGGAAGTTATTGCCAAATGGTCAAAACAAAATTTGCATTTACTTCCCCACCAAAAAAAAAAAAGAAGAAAAACGCTGAAGAAGTCTCTAAAAAAAACTGGTTGAGCCGAAAGCGAAGGCACGGGGCAGAGTGGGGGCGCGCTTGGCTGTAGGCGGCAGCAGGGTGGTGCAGGGCCGGGGAGGCGAGGGTGGAGGGGCGTCATCTAATTAGCTGCGTCGCTGCGCATTTTGCTTGTCTTCGTAGAACGTACAAGAAATAAAACGCAACTCGAAATGGGTCAAAAGTAAATATGGACAGGCGGGTTGGCAGTGACTGGGTGGGAAGCGGGCAGGGGGGGGGGGGCTGCTGTTTGTTGTGGTGTGTGGGCTATTGGGTAGGTTAGCTGGAGGGGCACGCTATCAGCTAGAAACGCCGAGCAGCACGCACCGCGCGCCTGCGGCAAGATAACGCGCTTCTGTTGCAATCTGTTGCAAGCTAGAAGTTCAAGCAGCAGCAGCGAGTGGGCGTACGCATGCCGGGAAGGGGGAGAAGAGAGAGGGGGGGCAGCTGCTGCTGAACTTTCGATCGCATTGAAATTCTAGCGCTGCTCTCGCTCTCGCGCTCTCTCGCTCCCTCGCTCTCTCGCTCTGGCTCAATTAGTGAACGCGGTGCGTTGGCCCAGCGGCTGTCTGCGTGCTTGTTGTGCCTATGTGTGTGCGTGTGTGTGTGTGTATCTATCTAATGCCGTATCTACACGCATGCCACGATCATTTGCCAGCGGCGGCAGCGACGTTGACGGCGGCGTCGCCAATGTCGCGTTTGTGTGTGTATTTTTAAAATTTGACCTATTTTCATTATCAAGCGCAAGATTATTCTAAACAATAAAGCCCATGCGTAGCTGTGTGTGTGCGTGTGTGTGCGTGTGTGTGTGTGTGTGTGTATTGTATGGCGCGTGGTAGCAACAGCAACAGCAGCACACCCACACACAGCTGTTGCACACGCACCTGTGAGCCACAATAATGAGAAGTTAATACGAAGAACGCAACTGGGCAAAGTTGTTTCTATTTTGTTTTTTTTTCGAGAATTTCCAACAACAGCAACTGCAATCGCAGCCGCTGCGTTGGGATCCCGTTTCGATTTCGAAGCTGCTCGGTAACTTAAGCAAAACCGTACACTCGAAAAATATTGAATCAAAGGCGAGTCAATTCTACAGCTTGCAGGGAAACTTTTGCCTCAAAATATTGCGAAACGTCCCAAGTTATAGTTAGACATAGTTTTCGAATAGCTTAAGGCATTTTTGGGTTTCGATATAGTTTTCGAATAGGTAACTTTATAGTTTCGATATTGTTTTCGTTTAGCTAACGGCTTATATAACTTTCGATATAGTATTCGAATAGCTAACTGCTTTTTTTCAGTTTCGACAAAGTTTTCGAATAAGTAACGGCTTCTTTGTGTTTCGATATGTACGGACTTATTTACGTTTCGATATAGTTTTCGAATAGGTAACGGCATAGTTTCGATAAAGTTTTTGATATATATCGATATATCGTCGATTAATGATAAATAAACATTTTGCATAGCGATAGTTATAAGGCTTTATTCGAATCAAATGCTAGAACGAGCGACTTCTTACTATTTATCGATAACTTTAAAGCAGTGAAAAAATCAATCAAATCAATTATCTATTTATCGACAGATTTATCGAATACTCAAATTTTCAAAGCATTTACCAACATTTAGCAAATATATAGAAGGTATATAAAATATTTAACTCTAAATAAGATATAAGCAAGTTTCGGAAGTTTCTAAACGTTACTTGACTTGATCGATTAACTGATCGATAACTAACTGTACAACTTAACTTGATCGATAACGAAAGTTCTGAAAGCGCACTTTTCGAAAATGCTTATGTGATATTCTCCTAAAATCTTGAATAAAACAAATCAAATACATATTGCTCGCTAAGAATTTAAGCACTTAAAATAAATATCAAATATAAAGTTTATATAATTTTGTTTAGTGTAGCGAAGCATGCTGTAAATCATAGTCACATTTTGAGTAAAATACAGCGGAAAATATGTGCAGCCAGAGTCGCACTGGGGCAATATAATATATACAAAGAGAGTGGTTGTTGTTGTTGTGATTGTTGTTGTTGTTGTTGCGGTTAGTGGGGTTAGGAATGGTTGGGTATGGAATGGTATCATAGATTTCTAGTTGATTAGTAACGATTACTACTTAAGAGGTTAGAGGCTTGGGTAGTTTTTTATTGTTTTTTTTTTTTTTTTTTGTTTTACCTATGGATGTCATAATTTTGTTGTTGCCGATTCGATTCTTGAATTTGGATCGTAAAAGAATACGCAAAAATTTTGTATGCCGATTGTAAAGAAATTGTTTTTGTTTACGTATATTTAGTTGATTTCTTAAAACTGTTGTTTTTGTTGTTGTTGTTGGTATTGTTGGTGTTGTGTTTGTACTCGAGGAAAGCATTTAGATTCTGTCTGTTGTGTGCGCCGCACTTGCCACATGGCGGCAGAGCCTGCGACAGCCAAAAAAAATATATATATAAATAATAAAATTGGGATTCAGATCAAATTTTTTGTTGAACGCAGCTCACGACCAAGATCTTGCTTGATCTTGAACGTGATGATGCGTTAGAAAGGTTTACCAATTGGAGTTTTTTTTCTTTCTTTATTTTTGTTTGGTTTTGATTGCATTTTTAAGTATTTTTGTTGGTATTTTTGCGGTATTTTGCGGTAATTTCGTGGTATTTGTTGTGGTACTTTTTGTCACTTGTTCGAAAATGTTGTTGTAATTGGATTTTGGATAATTATTTTATTTGCTGGGAGCTTTGCAGGGTGTCTGTGTGTGAGTGTGTGGGTAGGTGCAGGGGGGTGGGGGCGGGTTCAAGTACTATATGCATTATGATAAAAACGAGGTTATGTTATATGAAAACAGAACGTTTTAAAAAAAAAAAAATACTAACGGCAAATGGGCGGCATACGAGATTTTTTCTTATAATAATTATTATAGTTGTTGTAATGAATGTTGTTGTTGTTGTTATTATTGCTGTTGTTGTTGTTGTTATTGTTGCTGTTGTTGTTGTGAGAATTGCACTTGTTACACTTTTGACTGCAGGCATTCTGTGCCGCAGCCTTGTTGGCAGCTGCTGCTGCTGCTGCTGCGGGCAATGTTGCTGCCGTGCAGGATAATGTTGCTGCGGCCGTTGCTGCTGCTGCTGCTGCTGATGCAACTGTTGCTGGCGTTTTGATATGAAAGTCGTGTGGCTGTTGCTGCTGCTGGTCTGTTTGCAATTCGGCTGCAACATGTTCGGGCGTTGAGCAGCATGTTGTTGTTGTTGTTGTTGTTGATGCTGCTGCTGCGGCGGTGGCTGCAACATCAGCGCTGCCGCCGCCAGCACCAGCAGCAGCAGCAGCAGCAACATCATTATCGTTATCGCCGTCGCCGTCGCCGTCGTTGTCGCCGTCGCCGACGCGTTCGCTGCCATGATGATGATAATGATGATGGTAATGATGATGATGATGATGATTATCATTCATAAATTGTTCTTGTTCATTGTTATTTCCGCTTTGAAAACCGGAATCGCAACCAAAACCCAAAGCATCGTCGCCGCTGCTGCTGCTGCCGATGCCAGCGTTGCTGCTGCTGCGCAAGTTGTTGCCCGTGCTGTTGAGTGCAACATGCGGCAGATTGCCATTGCTGCTGCTGCTGCTGTTGTTGTTGTTGTTGTTGCACTTCTTGAGCAACGTTTTATTGAGCGGCGTTTTGATAATGGTCAACTTGCTGTTGCTGCTGCTGCTGCTATCAACCTCCAAGCCGGCGTCCTTGTCAGCAATATTGTCGTCATCGATGCTGCTGCTGCTGCTGCTGTTGTTGTTGCTGCCGTGACCATTGATGGTTCTTAGCTGCTGCTGCTGCTGCTGTTGCTGCTGCTGTTGCTCCTCGTGCGTGTGCTGGCCATTCTGCTTGGCCTCGCTACTTTTGCTTGCTGTTGCAGCAGCTGCTGCTGCTGCTGCTGCTTCGGCAACGACAGCAGCAACATTGACAGCAGCCACCGTTGGCTCCAGGCTCAGCGGCTGATTGGCATTCATTTGGGCTGCGTTCGCTCCTGCTGCTGCTGGGTGTTGTTCTTAGGTGGGCAGACACAGCTGATGTACGGTGGCAACACTGGCAACTGTTGCCATTCTGGCAACGGCAACCGCTGGCAACCAGCGCCAACTATGACGCATGCTTCCACAGCGATCCAGGCATGAGTTTTATCCACGGTTTATGTCAATCCCTTTGCGTTTTGCGTTTATTCCACTCGTTGGGATGCACACACGCACACACACTCACACGCACGCACAACAACAAGCGAGTGTTTCTCTCGTTATCACTGCACAGCTAATGAGCGAGTTGGAAGAAATGTGAGCGAAAAAAAAAAACAGAAGAAGAAGAAGATGTACGCACACACCCACACACACACACACACACACCAAATATCCTTGAGCTCTCTCGTTATGGCAGATGAAATGATATGCACTTGTGATCGCTGATTATAAAGTGACGAGTAACGAGTGTGTGTGTGTGTTTGTGTGTATTTAGAATGGGGAAGTCGGGGGCTAAACACTTAGAGCAACATGAATACAACAAACATAAAAAAAAAGTACCAGATATTAGCATAGATTTATACATATATCCTATATGATCACTTTTCAAAAGCTGCATATAATCCGTTGACCGTTAGATAGTTGTTTTTTGTTTTTTGCTTTTGTTTTTGTTTTTGTACTTTGTTTGTTCTAACTAGAAACAACGAGCAAACTGTACACACACAGACACACACACAACGAGACATTGAGACAACAGCGAGTATGCATTTGATCTTTTATCTATATATACATTTATATATATACATATATAAATATATACATATATGTATTTATTAAGTAGTATATCCAATGAATATTACAGGCAGACCACATCAAACAAGGCGCGAGCGTTGAAATCCCGTATTGACCGTTAATTTAACTGTATTTCGCACGCCGTAAGTTCCGAATAACAGTAACCGGGTACTCGTTAGTACGCGCACTCGTCGCACACAACAACCAAAATGACAACAAAATTATTACACAAAAAAAAAGTACCAAAAAAATTCAAAAAAAAAATATATGTTTTTTTTTTTTTAAACCGAAATTATTTAGTGTCTCTTCCGTATGACAACACACAACAAACAGAGAAACAGCGGCCAAGAGTCGCTTTCGCGCCGTGTGTGTTGTTTGCCTCGTTGTTGTTGTTGTTGTTGCTGTTGTTGTTGTCGTTGTCGGCTGGTTGTTGTTTTGTTTGATGCTGCTCCGCGGCCAACGTGCGTACATTCGAACGAAATAAAGTGAAATGAAAGGAGTAAGCGAGCGAAAGAAAGCAAGCAGCAGCCACAAACAGTCTCAGCCCAGTCAGCCAGCGACGTCTGCGCTGGCTGCGCTGCCAACGTAGCTGGTTGCAGGCGCGCGCGCCTCGGAAACTAGCGCGGAACAACAACAGCAACAACAACTTTTTTAAAGCGTCGCTGTCGCTGTCGCTGCTGCTGCTGCTGCTGCTGCTGCTGCTGCTGCTGCCGCTGCCGCTGCCGCTGCCGAAAGCCGAAACGATCGACGTCGTCACAGTCAAAGCAGCGCGCCATTAGATGGCAGCAAACGACGCGGCCGCAGCCGCAGCCGCAGTCACAGCCACCGTCGAAGCGGCCGTCGACTGCAAACGAAAATGAAAACCAATAGACAAAAAGTAAAAAAGCGCACACCAATACACACAAGCACATGCATAGCGCAGTCATAGACACAGACACAGGCACAGACACAGACACAGGCAGAGACATAGACCCAGGCGACGTCGACGTCATAGTTATGCTTTGCGGGCCGCTCGGCAACACATTCGGCCAAGCGCGTTCGCGTTCGCGTTCGGCTGCAATAAGCGCTGGCTAGATAAATGGAGAGAACAAGAGAGTGAGAGAGCATGAGAGTGGGCGCGCACCAGAAGCTCATAGCTGGCTGGCTACTCTATAGGCAGCTTGCATGCAATGCATTTGCCCACCCCCCTCCCTGCAGCACACAGGAATAACTCCATTGCGTCTAGCGACAGTTTCAGTTGGCGTCGCTGCCGCCTAGGCGCATGAAAATAGAAAATAGAAACATGAACAAAAAAGAAAAAAAAACTCTGCTAAACTTTGTGGGGCGCTCCCCCGCCCAAAAGCACACTTTATGCTTGCATGCATGTGTGTGCGTGTACATTGCATTTGAATGAATATGTGAAGTTATAAAACTTAAAAGTGTGTGTGTGGACGTTGACCGGCTTGCCAGTGGGTCGCATTTATTGCAGTAAACAGCAGGCAGTAAAAGCTTTGCTACTACGGCTCCGTCGCCAACTCCGAGTCCGAGTTCGACTTCGCCTTCGTCTTCGTCTCGAACTTCGGCTCGGATTCGGGACTCGGGACTTCGAATTCGTGTCGTCACTTACGTCAACACAGGCTAGAAAGAGAGCGGCCGCGGAAGATAGCAGGCGCTTATGCAAAGGTTCAATGAAATGAAACATAAAACTGTGCCACCAGCGTGCGCGAGTGCAGCGACGTCGACGTCGCTGTCGCTGTCGACGCGGCTGCTGCTGACGCCGCCGCTGCCGCTGCATAAAAAAAGCTCTGAACATGAATGCAACAAACATTAGACGTTCGAGTGAGTGGGTGACAGAGAGAGAGAGAGAGAGAGAGAGAGAGAGCGTGAGCGTGAGCCAAATGCTTCCTGGCTCGTTTGCAGCAAATGCGGCTGACAAAATGCAGATGGGATCCCGTTGCTGATCAGTGGGTGAGACGCACACACACACACACACACACACACACACACACACACACACACACGCAAACATGCGTGTATCTTACATAGCAGGCGCACAGTGACAGTGAGTAAAAGGTAAAAGTTAATTTGAAAAAGAGCACAAAAAAAAAACACATCACGATTGCGCAACAGCCAGCGTCTGCGCAAGTGGAGCGCAACGGCAACGGCAACGTCGAAGGCGGAGCGGGCGGGATTAAGAAGCAGCAATGTCATGAATTGCAAAATGTGAACCGTTTGCTGTTGCCAGACAGACAGTGGGCGGGGTGGGTGTACCACGAAATAAAAATATCGACAAAATAACAAATTAAATAAAAACAATAATAAAAATAAATAAATAAATTTTGTGTGTTGTGTGATTTTTGCACAGCATTTGCGATTTAATATATGTCGCTTACATTTGTTCACCCCCCCCCCCCCCCCCCCCCCCTGCGCTTTACAGCCCTGCCAGACGCTGGCTTCAATGCTGCCTTCTCGCTTGCTCGTTCGTTCGTTGACCATTGTCTCGAGCACTTTCGATTTCAAATACATTGCACGCTGTTAGCAGCAACAATAAAAACAACAGCAACAACAACAAATTCAATATGTAATTGTTTGGCGCACATTTCATTTCCTTATTGCTCACTGACATTTTGCTTTACACACACACACAGACAGACACACACACATGCATGCAAAAATGGCTTACGACTTTATAATGAGCAATAGCAACGACAACAACAACAACAACAAGAAAATGCGAGCAAAGCAAACGTGTCAAGTCTACTGCTGCATTTGCTCTTGTTATTGTTGTTGCTGTTGTTGTCGTTGTTGTTGTTATTGTTTTAGCTTGTAACTTGTAACGCAGGAAGCTTAAAGCCGCCTAAGCTCTGCTTATTTGCGCTCTCTTCTGCTGCACTCTCAGCTACAGCTGCACACGACTCTCTGGCCTAAGCCGCTCTCTGCAGCTCGGCCAGCTGACAGGCTGTTGTGGCGCAAGTGAAAGTTTTTGGGTTCTTTCCTTGTCCATGACACGGATCGTCGGCGGGCGTATAAGTCAGACAGAGAGCGCGCCAGCCCAGCAAGCACGCATGCCTGCCTAACTGAACGAGATAGCATGCGGAAATATGCAACTGCCAGAGAGAGAGAGAGAGAGAGAGATTGAGAGAGAGCGCACGCTGCGCCAAAGAGAGCGCGCGTGCGCGTGCGCGCAT